CTTTAAAAAAAAAAAAAACAAATAAAAGGAACTGGCTGAAGGATCAGGTTTTAAATGCTGAGTATTCAAAAGAAGCAAAATGAAAGGGAATCAAGAAATGTGCTACTAAACCCTTTTCTTTGAAAATAATTAGAATCAAGGTAAGAGGTGAATATATTCATATCTGTCCACATAACTATTGAGTGACTTACCCTATTGATTTAGGTAAACCTCACGTTTTATGATTTCTATCCAAAATTCCTGAAGGTCTTTTGCAACATGTCATATGCCCATAAGCTTGCATCATAAAAATCAGCAGACCTGAGAACAGTTTAAATTATCTTGTGCTTAGGCTGCAATCTTCTATTTACCTACTAAGAAATAAGAACAATGAACATAGTGGGTCTTTCTATATAGACATACAGAGAATTAGGTTTACCAGCTACTTTTGGACAATTATTATATAGCAATTTACTGGAATGTAGTAGAAACAAAATATCAATTGCAGCTGGTATTTTTAGATTTTTCCAAATAGTTTATTTCTTAATTTGTACACTTGTGATACTGTTCATATTCTGGAAATTCGAAACATTGCACAACATTTCTGTCATAGTACCATAATTTTTGGTCAATGGACAGATTTGAAATTTTGAGAGAATGTCATGAGCATTCTCAAAATCGCTGCTGTGATTACTGAACCTAGCCAGTTAACTAAATTAAGTCCTTCGGGAGTAGGGCGGTATAGAAATCGAATAAAATAAATAAATAAATAAATAAATAAATAAATAAATAAATAAATAAATAAATAAATAAATTGTAGATAATGTGTTCAATTATACACAGGTTAATCAGTATATGTCAAAGCTTTGATAAATAGCATGAAGATGTATGCCACCAGAGATCACATGAGTAAAAGTCACCTCTACCAGCATATGATCACACTATTGTAGAATTAATTCATTATGTAAATTTATTCATGTAACAAAGAGGTTGAGACTCTAGAACAGGGGTGTCAAACTCAATTTTATTGAGGCAGTGGTGGGTTGCCCCTGGTTCAGACTGGTTCTATAGAACTGGTAGTAAAACCGGAGGGAGGCTCCGCCCACTGACCCTGACGTCATCAGAACGCTTCTGCACATGCGCAGGAGCTTCTATGCATGCGCAGAACACGCACGTGAGCAAAGCAAGCGTGCGCACGCAGCCCCGTTGCGAATTGGTAGTACAGGTGAGTAGAACCCACCCCTTTATTGAGGGCTGCATCAGGACTGTGTTTTACCTCAGGGGGCTGCAATAGGTATGGCTGTGGTAGGCATGGCCAGCTCAGTGTCACTCATGTCGGGGGCACCTGTGGTGGCCAAGTGCTAAGGCAAGACTTCCCTCAGACCCTCCCTCACTCTCATTATAATCTATTTCCTTCCTTTCCCTTCCTTCCTTCCTTCTTCCTTCTTCCTTCCCCTTTCCTTATTTTTCCTTCATTGCTCTCTTCCCATCTTCCTTTTTCTTTTCTATTTCCCTTTCTCCTTTCCTGCCCCTTCTTTCATGCTCAAATGCAAAGGGGGAAACATTTCTCCTTTTGTTCTGCTAGCCTTTGCCAGCAAAAATGCCCCCCCCCACCAGCTCCATTTTTGCTGGCAGAGAGCTGCAGGAGGCTGTTGCGGCTTGAAAACGGAGCCTGGGAGGGTGGTGCACGGACCTTCTGATCTCCATTTTGTGGGCTGGTCCTTTGCTGTTTCCAGGGTGGCCCCGTGGGCCAGATCTAAGCACCCTGTGGGCCAGATCTGGCCCCTGGCCCTTGAGTTTGACACCCCTGCTCTAGAAAAAGTACAAAGAAGAGCAACAAAGATGATTAGGGGACTAGAGACTAAAACATATAAAGAATGGTTGCTGGAATTGGGTATGTCTACTTTAATGAAAAGAAGGACTAAGGGTGACATGATAGCAGTGTTCTAATATCTAAGGGGCTGCCACAAAAAAGAGGGAGTCAACCTATTCTCCAAAGCACCAGAAGGCAAGACAAGAAGCAATGGATGGAAACTAATCAAGGAGAGAAGCAACCTAGAACTGAGAAATTTCCTGACAATTAGAACAATTAATCAGTGGAACAGCTTGCCTCCAGAATTTGTGAATGCTCCAACACTGGAAGTTTTTAAGAAGAGATTGGATGGCCATTTGTCTGAAATGGTATAGAGTTACCTGCTTAAACTGCGTGTTGGACTAGAAGACCTCCAAGGTCCCTTCTAACTCTCTATTCTATTCTATTCTATTCTATTCTATTCTATTCTATTCTATTCTATTCTATTCTATTCTATTCTATTCTATTCTCTTTTGGAAATGAAGTCAAATCAATAAAGTTCATAAGAGGAAGACACCCCCCCAAACTTTATGAAGTAGTATCTTTTTAGCACAACTCATTTGAAAGTCTATGACCAACATGTAACAGAAAACACAAGACAATTTCTGTATGATAAAGATATCGATAAAAAAATCTCTTATAAACTTCACACTGTTTTCCAGCAATCCATTAGAACCAGTTTTTTGTTTTTAATCTGTTTAGTTTTATAATTTTATTATAGGGGTGGGATTGGTTTTTGTTTTTTTTTTGTACTTTTGATCGCCTTATCAGACCAGCCAAACCATACCTGCACTTTAAAATATGAAAGAAATTTTAAAGTTCTATGGGATTTTTTTTTTTGTATTTTACATGTTTGGTGTGCATGCCTGTGTGAAGACAAACTGGCCGGCATGCATGTGTGCCAGAAACCGGAAGACCAGCTTCCCGCCACACACATGCATGCCAGAAACTGGAAGCTCGGCTTCCTGGCACATGCATGCGTGCCAGGGAGCTGCCCTTCCAGTTTCTGGTGCTCCTGCATGCACAAAGGTCTGCTGGCCAGCCGAAACCTGGAAAAATAACAGGGGACAGCTGGCGTGCCCAGGAAGATGGCTCTGTGTGCCACTTCGGCACATGTGCCAAAAGTTCGCCATCATGGACCTATTATATAGTATACATACTTTAAATAATTTGATATTACTGGCTTTGCAACGTATGTGCCAGCAGCATAAAGCATGACCATAATATCCCCAAGATGTTGATTTTCATGGCTAAATCACAGTGGGAGTTAACATCAAGAGACAGAACAGCAAGTGCGTATTAGTTGATCAGATACTCTTCTGGTGGATAGAGAAATCTTTGGGGACTAAACTAAGCCACCAGATGGTTCACTAAATAGAGGAACATCTATCAAAAATCAGATTACAAATGTTGTGGTTACCCTAACACAATAGCAGATGGCAACCTTCCAGAATTTTATTTTAAAAAGTCATCCACCAAATCGAAGAACTTAATTATTAGCTATCACATAGCATAGAACAGCCAATGCTGTAAACAGAATCCAGAAATTCCTGATTAGATCGCGCTGATGTAAACAGGATTATATTTGCATTTAAATGTATGCTTTCCTACGATTCCTACTATGACCCCAATTTACTGTCCAAATCAGAATTGTCAACCTGTACATAACAAAGACGATAAAAAGTAGAAGGGCCAATTATATTCACTAAAAAGACAATTTACTGCACAAAAAAATGGCAGGGAGCCATTTTCATATTGACCAGTGCTAATGACTGTAACATTTCTGATTTTGCTCCAAGTTAAAAGCAAAAAATTAAATGCAGTCTTTTCATTAGAGGAGCAAATATTTTTTTTCACACAAAAAGTTAAACTGCTACCACTGGTGTTGATCATATTAATTGTAGCAATTTATTCTAATATCTAAAACTTCTGACTCATCAAATACAGGTAGTGCTCGACTTACAACCGCAATTGAGCCCAAAATTTCTGTTGCTAAGTGAGACATTTGCTAAGTGAATTTTGCCGCATTTTACCTTTCTTGCCGCAGTTGAAAAGTGAATCATGGCAGTTGTTAACTTAGTAACACACGGTTGTTAAGTGAATCTGGCTTTCCCTTTGACATTTCTTGTCAGGTCACATAATTTTGTTTTTCAGAAGGTCGCATAAGATCACATGACCCTGGGACACTGCAACCATCATAAATACGAGTCAGTTGCCAAGCATCTGAATTTTGACTTGAAAGATGCTGCAATGGTCGTAAGTAACTTTTTTCAGTGCTGTTGTAATTTTGAACTGACACTAAATGAACTGTTGTAAGTCAAAGACTACCTGTAATCATGTTCTTAAAAATTGCCACCATAGAACCAGAGCAATGGAATCAATGTATGTAATTTAGGCGCAAATCCAATGCATGCTTTTCAAGTAGAATGTCTCAGTGGGACCATAAACCAAAGATTTTCAGCAGTTGACCATGTGTGACAAACTCCTGTGTGTTGTCTCTATAATTAGTTGTATTTACCTATTAAAACATTGGTTTCTGCTCATTAATCTAGGAACATAGTTGTAGGACAGCTAACAACAATATTATCTAACTAACTGGCTTACAAGGCTGTTTGTGTATTGAATTTCTCTGCCCGTGTGGACAAGATTGGATTTCCCCCTCTCTTTGGCACTTCCGAGATTTGCTCTTAACTATCAGGCAACTTGAGAAATACATAAAGAAGACAGCAAAAGAAACTCCTCACTTTGTAAGTGCAAGAATCTTGATGTGACACACAGTATATAACCAATATGAAGTACAGTTGAACTTTGTTGGATTATAGATTTTAGAAAATTTGTGACAAGAAAAGAGTTTATCTTCAGATTTTAATGACTATAGTTTCTAAAAATCTCAGTCTGAGACAAATACATCAACATTATTCAAAACTTTCTGGATTAACAGCTTTGATTTTAAAATTGTGATAATTGCATCATTTGCATTGATTATTTTAAAAGGACAAACACTATTAATATTTAAATAATCTTCATTCTTTGATCGTATTATTCAATTTTACAGATGATTCTGCAAAAATCATCCATCCCAAGCAGCAAGACAGAGAGAGCAAATTCAATCTTTGATCTGAAGTTTCAAGTCCATCGCTTGCTTAGCTTCTAGTTTAGAAACCTGTAAATTAGAAAGCAGAGATTTATCTTTTGACTAAAATGCTATATTACACGCACATTTTTTATCAGAATCCCACCAGTACAGCTATGTTTTCTAAGCAAAAGTGGATTGTAATGAACTAATTTCAACAAGTGCTAAATCTTCTCTGTTCCAAATTGCACCTTTCCTAATATGCTTTGACAAGCAGCAGAACCTGTTGGGAACGCTTAAACACACATTTGCTTACTACATATAGTTAAGTCCTAACAAAAATGAGAAGGAAACTTTTAACAATTGGTGTTAATCTAAAGGCAGGGCTTCCAACGGAAAAAAAAAGTATGCATCATTAAATAATTATCACAATAACTTATCAATATAATTAACAAGGGGATTCAGACTTAATATCAGGCCATTGTGTGTTTCTGTAGTTCATTTTACGGCTTTTCTTTCCATGGTTGTTAAGTGAATCACGGCAGCTATTAAGTTAATAACACGGCTGTCAAGTGAACCTGGCTCCCCCATTGACTCTGCTTCTCAGTTGTGACCGTTTAATCGTGGGGACACTGCTAATGTCATAACTAGGAGTCAGTTGCCAAGGGTCAGAATTTTGATCACATGACCATGTGACCAGGTGTTCTTTATTCAGAGTTCCTGCCATGTGAGCACTCCAGATAATCCGTGTATCTATCCTTGCAACCATCACTCAAATTATGTCTGCTTCCTACTACAAGTCACCAGTTCAGCATGATTACTGTGTGTGCAAAGAGGAAAATCTTTGCATGTGCAGCTAGAGGGACATCGACTTTTATGTTCAGCGCCCTTGTGTAGACTATAGAAGCAGTTCAGTAAGCAATTCTATACATCTCGTAAATTAGTGTGTCTAATTGTTCCTTTTCCCAAAAGAGCAATGGGGAAGGCGGGGACAAATGAGTGGCCTCTTATGATAGGAACAAATAGATCTAAAACTGCGAGTGCTCTAAGTCCTAGCTGGGAAGTTGTGGCTCACAGCCTTAGTAATGCTAGAAGTAAAATGAGATGCTGTTCCATGACTACATTAGTCGTGGTTAAGTTGACATTAAAAGCCATAAAATAAAGAAGACAGGAGAAGATTAGGAAGAATAAGGTTCTTTGCCAAGAACAGGAGAACAAGAGTTTGAGTACATGCAGACCAGAATTACTAGTTTAGTCCCTTCTTCTCAAACAAGAAAAAATTCATCTGCCATCTTTTGTCATCCACTCTGCTGAAGATAAAAGCCTAACATGGGTGCTTTTTTTAATATAACCCAGCCTCCACATCCAATTATTTATAATACTACACAGTATTAATGTCTGAAGGGACATGGTGGCTCAGTGGCTAAGATGCTGAGCTTGTCGATCGAAAGGTTGGCAGTTCAGCAGTTCGAATCCCTAGTGCCGTGTAACAGGGTGAGCTCCCGTTACTTGTCCCAGCTTCTGCCAACAGCCAACAGTTCGAAAGCAGTAAAAAATGCAAGTAGAAAAATAGGGACCACCTTTGATGGGAAGGTAACAGCATTCCATGCGTCTTTGGCGTTTAGTCATGCCAGCCACATGACCACGGAGACATCTTTGGACAGCGCTGGCTCTTCGGCTTTGAAACAGAGATGAACACCACCCCCTAGAGTCAGGACAACATAGCAAAACATAGCCCAGTGATGCCCTCGACGTGATGTCCCGATGTCTGGAGGCGGTGCGGCTCTGGATGGGGAGGAACAGGCTCCGACTCAACCCTGCCAAGACGGAGTGGCTGTGGGTACCGGCGTCTCGGTTCCAAGGGAATATTCCATCTTTGGTCATAGGGGGAGAGGTGTTGCCCCCTGTGGAGAGGGCGCGCAACTTAAGCGTCCTCCTGGATGCATGGTTGACTTTAGAAGACCATATCACGACCGTGACCAGGGGGGCATTTGCCCAGATTCGTCTGGTGCACCAGTTGTGCCCCTACCTGGATCGAGATGCGCTACACATGATCGCCCATGCACTCATCACCTCCCGGATCGACTATTGCAACACTCTCTACATGGGGCTGCCCTTGAAAACCACTCAGAGGCTTCAGCTGGTGCAGAATGCGGCCGCGCGGGTAATGATGGGAGTGTCCCGATGCTCCCATGTCACACCCCTCCTGCGTGACCTGCATCGGTTACCGGTTGCCCACCGGGTGAGGTTCAAGGTACTGGTGATTTCCTATAAAGCCCTACATGGCTTAGGCCCGGGGTATTTGGCGGATTACCTGCGGCCAGCAACAGCTCCCCATCGCCCCGTGTGCTCACATAGAGAGGGCCTACTTGGGGTCCCGTCGACCACACAATGTCAGCTGACGGCCCCTAGGGAGCGAGCTTTCTCTGTGGGCGCACCTACCCTCTGGAATCAGCTCCCCTTGGAGCTCTGGGTAGCCCCCCCGACCTTCGTTCCTTCCGCTGTGACCTTAAAACATGGCTGTTTCGCCAAGCTGGCCTGGACTGAATGGGGTTTAAATGGGAATTTTAGTTTTTATTGTTGAATTTTAATTGGACTTGTTGTTGTTTATTGCTGTGAGACGCCCTGAGTCCTTGTGGAGAAAGGGCGGCTTATAAATCCGATAATAAATAAATAAATAAATAAATAAATAAATAAATAAATAAATAAATAATTTAAAAAAAAACACCTGGTAATCAGATACTTAAGTCTAGATTAATCTTGCCTATATATTATGAGCACAGAAAGATTTTAAAAAAATAATGCTGTACTAGCAGCAAACCGAGACTTTATGGAAGCCAATACGTTTTTTTTTTTACCTTCACCATGAATCAAAACTATAGAGAAAATGATGGAAAAATTATGCAGGATCTTTTTTACAGGCATTAAAATGGCAGGGATCACAAAGTATATTTTAATCTTGATTTCCCAGGAAGTCATACAATTGCAGTATTTATCTGGCATTTCAGAGATGGGAATCAGCATTTACTGTGTATATAAACACATTATTGATACCAACCATGGTATAATATTTAGGTAGGGAATATGTAGAGGGGCTAATATTCCGCTGTCCAGCAAAAGAATATTTGTTAACATTATGTTATTGCTGTGAATGAAAACCACAAACAAGCCACAATGATCAGGGATTCTTGATTTTTCCACATCTGATGCCTTTATAGTGTTAAAATAAAATCATATTCATGGTTGCCATCATCTTCAAAGCTAAGTGGTGATGCAAACACGACTTCAGCCCTACCCTTTCACTGGGGAAAATAAATCACTTCAAACTTATCCAAGCATTTGAAAAAATAAAAAGTTTATATTTTATCTTGGCTGAGGTAAACTTTCATTTATTCAAGTGTGAAAAAATATACCATGAAAAGTATAGAAGCAATAGCCTATGTATGAATGACCATTGTGAGAGGATCCTAAGCTTCAGCAGGCACAACTCTATCTGCCATCGCAAAGCATATTCCCATTGTTGAAAAGCTTACTTTGAAAAAAGTTTATCCTGTTACAATAGCTATACATATTACAGCTACAAAGAGGGCTGTGAAAATATTTACAGACCCCTCACATCCTGGACGTAAATTGTTTCAACTTCTTCCCTCAAGACGACGCTATAGGGCACTGCACACCAAAACAACCAGACAGACCCCATGCCATCACTCTGCTGAACAATTAATTCCCACAACACTATCTATGCCCTTGGATGTCAAACCACCTAGTGGGGCTGTATTACCTATTATCCTTCTCATCTTTCTTATCACCTATTTCTTTAGCTTCTTATGACTATAACTTTGTTATTTGTACCTTATGATTTATGTTGATTGCCTATTATGGTTTATGTTGTATTCTTATTTAGTATCCTATGACTATAATTAAGTTTGTATCAGATTTATGATTATTGTAATTTATGATTAGGATCATGATTCCTCACTTGTTGCTTGTATGTACCTGAGAGCTTATGCACTGGAGACAAATTCCTTGCATGTCCAATCACACTTGGCCAATAAAGAATTCTATTCTATATAAATATAACTTCAGAGCAGTGGTAAAATCCAAAATTTTTTACTATCAATTCTGTGGGCATGGTGGGTGTGGCTTGGTGGGCATGGCAGGGGAAGGATACTGCAAAATCTCTATTCCCACCCCACTCCAGGGGAAGGATACTGCAAAATCCCTATTCCCTCCTCACTCCTGGGGGAAGGATATTACAAAATCTCCATTCCCACCCCACTCTGGGGCTAGCCAGAAGTGATATTTGCCGGTTCTCCGAACTGCTCAAAATTTCCGCTACCGGTTCTCCAGAACCTGTCAGAACCTGCTGGATTTCATCCCTGCTTCAGAGCTACTAACTGCCCAACTATGATGTTTAAAACTACCCACAGATCACAAATTGTTCACCCAACCCAGCCTCAACCAGATAGATGGCTTTAAATTCAGCAGTCGGCTAAAACGTTAAATCCTGTGTCTGCATACGCCTCTAAACATGGACAGCATATAACATAAAAATAGATTACTGCTTACCTGTTCATCTATACACCTGAACTGCCAGGACCAAGCAGAATTGTAAAGGAAAGGTCTCAGATCAAAGCGATTATCATCAGGACTGTAGTTGGCGGCATGATAGGAGGGAGTAAGGGTAGTCATTTTATGTCGGTTGATTGAATACATTTGAAAGAAATGCTTAACTTTTGATGCCACCTGGTGAACAAAATGCAGTATTTCAGGGACTTAAAAAAAACATAAAATCAAAACCCACCCACCCCCATATAAACATCATATAGAATTAGTCAATAACTAAGATTCAAATGTTGCAATCCTATATTTAAGCAGGTCCAATCTTACTGATTGCTTTCAGCATTATCAACAGGAGTGCTCAAGTCAAAATGAGGTGCCAACAGAGCTGTAGTTAGGTAAGATGTGCTGGGCAGTTTTCCCAAGACATACATTGAACCTGGAATTCTCCTGAATGAAACCATAGCACTTACTGATTAAGAATAGTCTATATTTGAAGAAGTCATAACCGGGAAATGAATCAGACATTATCATTATATCACGATTTGCCAAATTCAAATTTATATTTTGACCTTTCCAGTGTATAAGCATACCAAGGCGTAGTGCTGCTTGTGTAGATGTAGATCAGGGAAATTTATTGTTTACCTCTCTTGGAGAACATATCTCTTTCCACATTGTGACCACTTTGCAGAACATGGTATAAGGTCCGGCCTTAGCTATCTTCCTTAGTTTACCATAGACGGAGAGTTCAGCATACGTCATGCCCATATCTACCTAACATTTCATAAGCAGTGCAAAAAGAAAAGAAAAAGAGAAACCAGATGAATATAAGAATCATACATTCTTCAAAAGCCACCCATCACTGAATCGGAACTATACTTAATCTAGATTTCTATGAACTTGGAGAAAAATAATATTTAACCTGATTAAAATACATACCATAGTTACAGTTGCAAGAAAAAGTATGTGAACCCCTTGGGATTACGTGGAGTTTTGCATGAATTGGTCATAAAATGTGCTCTGAACTTCATCTAAGTCACAACAATAGAAAAACACAGTCTGCTTAAAATAATACTACAGAAACATTAGATGTTGCCATGGTTTAATTGAACATAACATGTAAACATTCACAGTGCAGGGAGGAAAAAGTATGTGAGCCCCTAGCCTAATGACTTCTCCAAGAGCTAATTGGAGCCAGGAGTGAGCCAATCTTGACTCCAATCAGTGTGATGATATTGGATGTGTTGCTGACAGCTGTCCTGCTCTTTAAAAACACACACCTGTTTTGGGTTTACTGGTTTCAAGAAGCACTGTCTGATGTGAACCATGCCTCGCAGAAAAGAGCTCTCAGAAGACCTACGATCAAGAATTGTTGACTTGCATGAAGCTGGAAAGGGTTACAAAAGTATCTCCAAAAGCCTTGATGTTCATGTGTCCACGGTAAGACAGACTGTCTACAACTGGAGAAAGTTTAGCACTGTTGCTACTCTCCCTAGGCGTGGTCATCCTGTAAAAATGACTGCCAAGAGCACAGCGCAGAATGCTTCATGAGGTAAAGAAGAATCCTAGAGTGTCAGCTAAAGACCTACAGAAATCTCTGGTACATGCTAACATTTTTGTTGACACATCTACAATAAGGAAAACATTAAACAAGAATGGAGTACATGGGAGGACACCACGGAGGAAGCCATTGCTGTCCCCAAAAAATATTGCAGCACGTTTGAAGTTTGCAAAAGAACACCTGGATGTTCCACAGCACTACTGGCAAAATATACTGTGGACAGATGAAACCAAAATTGAGTTGTATGGGAAGAACACACAACACTATGTATGGAGAAAAAAAGGCACAGCACACCAACATCAAAACCTCATCCCCACTGTAAAACATGGCGGAGGGAGCATCTTGGTTTGGGGCTGCTTTGCTGCCTCAGGGCCTGGACGGATTGTTGTCATTGATGGGAAAATGAATTCCAGAGTTTTTCAAGACATTTTGCAGAAAAACGTACGACCATCTGTCCACCAACTGAAGCTCCGCAGAGGATGGGTGATGCAACAGGACAATGACCCAAAGCATACAAGTAATTCAACAAAAAAATGGCTTCAACAGCACAGAATACGCCTTCTGGAGTGGCCCAGTCAGAGTCCTGACCTCAACCCGATTGAAATGCTGTGGCATGACCTTAAGAGAGCGATTCATACCAGACATCCCAAGAATATTGCTACACTGAAACAGTTTTGTGAAGAGGAGTGGTCCAAAATTACTCCAGATCGTTGTGCAGGTCTGATCTGCAACTACAGGAAACGTTTGGTTGAGGTTATTGCTGCCAAAGGAGGGTCAACCAGTTATTAAGTCCAAAGGTTCACATACTTTTTCCTCCCTGCACTGTGAATGTTTACATGTTATGTTCAATTAAATCATCGTAACATCTAATGTTTCTGTAGTATTATTTTAAGCAGACTGTGTTTTTCTATTGTTGTGACTTACATGAAGTTCAGAGCACATTTTATGACCAATTCATGCAAAACTCCACATAATCCCAAGGGGTTCACATATTTTTTCTTGCAACTCTATATCACTTCATTATATTAAATCCCACAATTCTGTCCTACTGTCATTAATTATAATTCAGAAGCAGTTTTGGAGTGATCTGGGGGGGGGTGCAGATTTCTAACTTCTATCAGTAAAATTCCTTTGTGAAAGGGGGTGTTACTAGAAAGTATCTTGCTAATTAGGAATAGTGAAGCTCTAGTAGATCTTTGGCAATCTGGATTCTAAATTCTTCAATAGCCTTTATATGCCCATTGTAACTTATATAGATAGTCCTCGACTTACAACAGTTCATTTAGTGACTGTTCAAAGTTACAATGACACTGAAAAAAGTGGCTATTGACTGTTTTTCACATGACCATTGAGGATCCCCATGGTGATGTGATCAAAATTCAGTTGCTTGGGAACTGACTCGTATTTATGATGGTTGCATTGTCCTGGGATCAAGTGATCAATCCCCTTTTACAACGTTCAATCTAAGTCAATGAGGAAGCGAGATTCATTTAATAACCGTGGCAAGAAAGGTCGTAGAATGGGGCAAAACTCACTTAATAAATGTCTCACTTAGCAACAGAAATGTTGGGCTCAACTGAATCATAAGTCGAGGGCTACTTATATTATTGCAGAAGACATGTGAGTCTGCAGCAGAAATATCTTACTAGGAAAAATACACAGTTGGCTAATGTATGCTGAGTTCCATATGATGCCTAAATCACAAAAGTCAGATTTTTTTGAATGTTGAAGAAGATTAAGAGATTGCATGAACAAGATGCTACAAATTAAAAATACGGGCTTACAAGATGGCAGTAGTCGTTGCACTTTTACCTCATCCATTTGAGTAACATTTCCTTTCTGCAGGGGCTCCAACTCTGCTGTTGGGGGTGCTGATATAATACTGTGTACAAATAAAATGAAATGAATCAAATTAATCTATAGTAATACATTACTATTACTATGAACATGTTCTATCTGAACCAAAGCAATTATTAAGCGAGGCCACATCATTTGTCTGCCTCATGGTACATTTCTATTCAAGTACAAGCACAACATTGCCTGACTATTTACAGGTGAATGCACAAATGTGGGCACTCTTGGTCAAACTGTACATTTCATTGGATCCCTAAGTGAGTAGAAATTGATCTTTAGTGAGATAAAAGTTTGAGGACTTTTGAATACCATTCCAAAATCTTTATCTTTCTTACTTGAAAATACTTCATGGTAGATTGAAAGGTAATATTCTGGACTGTTGTTTTGCTGAAATATCCAACTTATTTTCAAATTCATTTTTTTTCTCCGCTGGTTGTGGAACATTGCCCCATACTTGTCAGATATGCCAAGAAAATTCACAAATCCCTGCAAAGACTAAAAAAAAGTTTAGCTAATATTCAGCATTTGTCCATTGAACATGGTTCCTTATATAATGATTTTAATGGGAGATTTTTCCCTGACTTCATCACGAAATCTTAAGATATGCAAAAGAAAACATTGATAAGCCTGAACTATTTTGAGCAAAATACTATGAATTGACATTTCATAGAATATATAGTTTATATTCTAAACTATAGAATATACTTTTAGAGGGGGGAAAAAGATGAAACGTTTCAAGAAAAGATCATCTTTCTACCAAACACGAAGCCTGAGGGTGGTTCTATGATAATTTGGAGTTGTGTGTAAACAGTGGCATTTGAAAATTTGTGTGGATAGTAGAAAGAATAGATTTAGTTAAATATCAACATATCCCAGAAGCTCATGTCCCAGGCAGTAAAGAACATGAAGCTGAAAAGAGGCTAGATATTTCAGCAAGACAATTATCTAAAATGTTCCTCCAGATTAATTTGTACTACTTATAGGCAAGTAATAAAGTGGCCTGCACAGATGTATCAGGAAACAAACAACCTGATTAGGGGTGCAAGACTATTACATACAACTGCTTTGTATTAACAAAATTGTCCAATGTTAAGAAAGTCAGTATGAAAAAGCTTTATTAGCCAGCAAAACTGTACTTGATATAATCATACTTTAAAGGAACTATTTACTCATTGATATTCAGAATTTAGTTGCAATTCTATCAAGTCCTAATTAAGATCAAATTCTGAAGCATTCAGTAATCCTAGGAAAACAAAGAGGGAAGAAAGCATCAAGATTCCAGATCATTCTATACTGGAATAGACCGGAATAAATTTCATTACTTCTCTACTTACCTTCTGAGGGATTTTAGCTGAAAATTCTCAATGCAATATTGCATAAAACATTTCAAATCTGTTTTGCTAATTCCACCAATAGGGTTGATGTCACCACTGGAACAGTCATATTTTGTGAAATATCCTCGAAGACTAAGAAGGAAATATTTTTAAATTTATTTTCTATAGGTCTAAAGGTGATGACAAATATATTAAGACAATATCCAACACTCCCCAAATTGTTGTGCAATTATAAATTATAAATTTCTCCAATAATTCTGAGAAAAAGTCTGCAGACTGAGAAAGGAAGACCTGATGTAATGCTTCTATTAAGTTGGATGAAGTTAACCTGTTCTCTATCCTCCCATTACAGCCTTCTCCGATTGGGTGTGTATTAATGAATCGGAGGGAGGGAAGGTCACTCAGAAATATATCCAGAGTCAATAAAAAATCTACTGTAAGCTGTTTAACTGTCAAGTATAATTTATGTAACATTACTATTTTTCAGACCACTTTTTATTATAGTTTATGTAGTATTGAGAAAAGACTTCCAGAGTTAACATGTCCTGTAACCTCTATATGGTGAGCATTTTCTTTCTCTTTGAAATTCACATAGAAGAAATATCAGGCAGTTAGTTACTTTACAGAAAACATGAGAAGAATCTCACCATTTTCAGAGTGACCCAGTCACATATTAAAGCTAGCTCTGGGCAGTAGGCCTGGATTTGTTCTAGGAATGATTTGTAATCATTAGCAAAGACACATTTAATTCTCTTCTTAGGATAATTTGTCTATAATTTTGAGTCACATATATTAATTCCAACTTGAAAACCATACATACACACAAAGTTATGAAGTTAGAAATATGTTTCATACAAACTGAAATACTGACCCAAGTTAACAAAACTGGAACAACAAAACAACAAAAAGGACTCTTCCAAAAATGCATTTGCTTGATGGTAGAGTATAACATCTTAAGGAGCTTCTGCAATGTTTTTTGGAAAAGCCAAACTGTTCAAACATGATACAGAAAAATATTTCAGAGTGCTAAACAGCTTTTGCTTTTGAAACCGTTTGCATTTGATATGCAAAACCAAGCAGATCAATGTTTTTTATTGTTACCAGCAATTAAAGAGATTTAATAAATCAACACCTTTCATCCACATTAGCTGTTCCAAGCACTAACAATCCACCAGGCATTCCACGAGTCCACAGGCACAGCTGGGCAAATAGATAGCCGATTACCATTCTTATTCTGGCCTAGAAGTTAAACATAGAAATTAGGAATTACTAAAGCTGGAATTTTCAAGTGGTATACAATAGAAATGGTACACAAAACACAGTAGGCATTACAGATAAAGGAGTAAGAGGGAGATCAAAATGATAATCAAGGTAAGAAGAGAAAGGAAAAGAAGAGAAAGAAAAGAGAGAACTAGAGAAGAAGACTGAAACTATTAGAGGGAAAGTATTTGACATCTCCAGATGGATTATGGATGTTAAGATCCAAAGTGCTTTCATCTCTCATCTTCCTTATCTGTCCCAGGGAGAGAAAATCCTTTTCAAACCTTTGAATGAATGCTGCCTTCATTTTTGTCCCCTTTTAATTCTGGAAAAATTGTATGTCAGGCTAGTTGTATTAGACAAATAAATCAACAATGAAATAGATGGTTAAAGCCTTTAAATTTTATATGTCTGGAAGTCCTTTAGAAGAGCAGTTCTGTGGTATATTGTGGTATTTCTTCTGAGGAAGAATATTCATAGATACCATAGATTAGAGAGAATAGATATGTATATAGATAGCTGACAGTATAATTTATAATAGTAACTTAGTGATGTTTATTGATTGTATATATATTATTATGTTTTTATTGTGTAAATAAAAACATTTGCTGTAAGCTGCTTCAGAGGCTCATTTGTTTAAGTAGAGTTTCATAGAGATAGAGGTTCACGATTTATTGATTTATTAACCTCCACAACAGAACTCAGCTGGGATCATCAGAAAAATGCCTCTCTGCTGATCAGCTGGGATCGTCAGAGACTTTTGAAAGCATTTTTTTTACCACCTCTTCGGCCAAGAGGTTGCAGAAAAAAATGCTTTGAAAAGCCTCTGATCCCAGCTGAGCCACACGATCATCAGGGGCGGAGGGGTGTTGGGGGGGGCAGGGATTTTTGCTACCGGTTCTCTGAACCACCCGCCGCCATCGCTACCAGATCGGGGGATCCGGTCCGAACTGGGAGCATTTCACCCCTGGTCTGATGTTAATTTCAGAGTTAACCTAGGCTCATCTGGGTGCTGATTGATGGTAGAGAGATGCTTAGATCTTTTTGTTCTCCTTTTGCTTGTTGATTGTCTTTTGCAGAGTTTATAGACATATTGTTTATGTCTATGTGTCTATTGATGGCTAATTTGTTGGAGTGGCAGACTTCTAGAAATTCCCTAGCATTTTTGGACTTGGCTTCATCTAGGATGGTCAGTTTCCCAATGGAAACTATGGTTAAGTCCAGAAATGGTATTCAGTCAGTTCGGACTGGTTCGCCCGAACTAGTAGCGGAAATCGCGAGTGAGCCCGCCCACCCGCCCCTGCTCCATGCCATCCTATTTAGGCATGTTTTTGAGGCAGGGCGCATGCGTGGAAGGCGTGCACACAAGCAAAGCACATGTATGGAAGGCAGGCGGGCATGCAAACGGGTGCGCGCGTGCACAAAGCGAGCATGCCTGCAGCGAATCAGTAGTAACATAATGTGGAATCCACCATTGGCTACGTCTCTCCATATGTTGTGAAATTAAAGAGCTTCCATCATGTCTTCTGACTGCTAATTAGTGTTCATGGATGCGTTCTGCCAGTCTTCTGCCAGTTTGTCCTACGCAGTGATTGTTGCAGTTGTTACACTGTATGCTGTAGATGACTCCTGTTTTTTCTTCTGGGGTTGCTGAATCTTTTGATTTGCTTAGGATGTTTTGAAGGGCTTTAGTTGGCTTGTGTGCCACACTGATTCTATGATTATAGTAGTCTGTTGGTGGTTTGTGAGATATTCTTGATGTGTTGGTGGTGCTGTATTGGGTTGAGCAGTCAGGCACTTTTTGATAACTATTCACACAGCTTTAACATCTGACGAATAATCAAGTAAGCAATACTTCAATCATGAAACTGCCAAATAAGCCAACGGTAAATAGCCCAACCAGAGAATGGGCATTGGTCTTACCTTAAATGCCAGATTTCTTGAGGGGGGTGACATTGTCCAGATGAGGGTTATATCAGTCGGATCTGATGCTGGCTGAGTCATAACTTTTGACCACTCCCCTTGCTCCGCCCCTTTCATGCTCAGTTTTGACGAAGGAAGGCCACCAGAAGTATCTCCAACAGGAACCACCGTTATCAGGAGGAAGTAATTCGGTCCAACGGGACAACTGGAAAAAAACTACTGAACAAGAACAATAAACTGTACAGGCACTGAGACAGAGGGAGGGCTGGACAATGTCACCCCCCTCAAGAAATCTGGCATTTAAGGTAAGACCAATGCCCAATTTCCTTGATGAGGGTGTGACATTGTCCAGATGAGGGACATACCAAAGATTTGGCTGTCTCAAGGGCGGGATGTCGAAGGGCCTGGAGAGACCCTCGCACGATGCACCTGCTGCAAAACCCTCCTGCCAAATGACGCTTCAGCAGAAGCAAAGGTATCTATCTTGTAATGACGAATAAATGGCGAGGGGGTAGACCAGGTGGCTGCCCTACATACCTCCTCAAGGGAGGCCTGAGTCGCCCAAGCTGCTGAGGTAGCAGCACTCCTAGTGGAGTGGGCAGTAATGCTATTGGGAACAGGAATCGCCTGGGCCTGATATGCCGAGGCGATGCAAGCCCTGATCCATCTACCAATTGTGGCAGAAGAGACTTTGAGCCCTAGGGAGCCTGGCAAAAAGGAAACAAACAAAGCCTCTGACTTCCTGAAGGGAGCAGTCCTTTTGATATAAATCTTTAGGGCCCTCCGTACATCTAAGGTATGCCACCTTCGTTCCAAGGCATGAGAGGGCCGGGAACAGAAATTGGGCAAAATAACCTCTTGGGCCCTGTGAAAGGGGGAATTAACCTTGGGAATAAAGGAAGGGTCCAATCTCAAAATAACTGTGTCCGGCCGGAAAACACAGAGATCCTCCCTAACTGAGAGGGCTGCCAGCTCCGAAATGCGACGGGCTGAAGTTATGGCTATAAGGAAAACCACCTTAAGGGTGAGAAAGCGAAGGTGAACCGTGCGGAGGGGTTCAAAGGGAGTCTCAGTTAAAGCGTTAAGGACCTTGGGCAAATCCCAAGTAGGGTATCTATGAATCGAGGAGGGCCGCAAGAGCCTGGCTCCTCGCAGGAACTTTTTTATCACAGGGTGCTGAGTGAGTGGTCGGCCGGATGGACTGGACAAGGCCGTAGACAGAGCCGCCACATGTCTCCGAAGGGTACTATGGGCCAGACCACGGTCAAACCCATCTCTGAGGAACTCCAAGATCTGGGCAGGTGAGGCTGAAACAGGATCTATCTGCCGGGAACGGCACCACCTATAAAAGGCGAGCCAGGAGATATTGTAGAGTCTGACTGTGGATTTACGTCTGCAGGCTTGAACAATGTGAATCACCCTATCTGAATAATTGTCCTGCCTTAGACGGGCCCCTTCAAGCGCCATGCAGTCAGTTGGAGCCACTGAGGGTCCGGATGAAGAAGGTTCCCCTGACGCAGTACAATCTCGTCTGGTGGAATCCTCCAAGGGTGAAATGTGGAGAGACTGACCAGGTCTGCGAACCACGGACGGCGTGGCCAGTGGGGAGCCACGAGGATAATTTCTGCTCTGTCGGCGATGACCTTCCGAATCAGGGCCGGAATCAGAGGCAGCGGTGGAAAGGCATAGTGAAGACCCGGCGGCCAGGTGAGACGGAGAGCGTTGACCCCTTCCGCCCCTGGCGTCGGGAACCTCGAGAAGAAGCGAGGAAGCTGATTGTTCAGGTGTGTGGCGAAGAGATCTATGGCTGGGATGCCGAACCTGTTGCAAATCTGATGAAATATGTCGGGATGAATCTGCCACTCGCTGTTGTCCACCTCTGTCCTGCTCAGGAAATCCGCCTGTGTGTTTTCCGACCCCGCAATGTGGTCCGCTCTGATGGAGAGGAGGTGTTGTTCTGCCCACTTGCCCAGGCGAAATGATTCCTCCATGAGGCGCTTTGAGTGGGTGCCCCCTTGACGGTTGACATGTGCCTTCGCCGCCATATTGTCTGTCAACACCAGAACATGACGGTGTTGCACGAACCGGTGAAAGTGCGTGAGAGCGAGACGAATGGCCTTCAGCTCCAGCCAGTTGATAGGGTTGGCGAGGTCTGATGCAGACCAACGGCCCTGAGCCACGTGTGATGCAAGATGAGCCCCCCATCCGTGAAGGCTGGCGTCTGTAGTGAGTACAAGTCGGTCGTGATTCATGAAGAGACACCCCTTGTCGAGAGAAGGCGATGTCCACCAACCTAGCGATCGCCTGACTGAGAGTGGAACTTTGACTGTTAACATGGTGTGAGCTTGGCGTTTCTTTTGAAAAGGAAGCAGGAACCACTGCAAGTGGCGAGCGTGAAGGTGTGCCCATGGGACGATCTGGACGCAGGAGACCATCTTGCCTAAGAGCTTGGATAGAGTGGCCAATGGAACTGATGGAGTTCTGCGAATGAGAGCTACTAGGTCCCTGATGTCTGACCGTCGTTCCAAGGTTAGGTAGACGGTCCCCTGGGCTGCGTCTATGATGGCGCCAAGATGGGTGATCCTGGTGACTGGCACTAACTGACTTTTTTTGTAGTTGACCAAGAACCCATGGTTGTTCAGGGTTTGAATCGTGAGGTGTAGGTCGTGTAAGGCTTGCTCTTGAGAGTGAGCCTGAATCAGAATATCGTCCAGGTAAGCCTGGATCCTTACCGGTTGTTGTCTCAGGTGAGCCGCCACCACCGCCAGGACCTTTGTGAAGACCCTTGGTGCAGATGCCAGTCCGAAGGGAAGAGCCCGGTATTGAAAATGCTTTCCTGCATAGCTGAATCGGAGATACTGTCGATGCTTTGGCAGGATGGGAATGTGAAGATAAGCCTCCATGAGGTCTATGGAAACTAGAAAATCGTTGGGACGAATCCCTTGAAGAATAGAGGTTAGTGAACACATTTTGAATCTGCGATACACTATGTATGAGTTGAGATTTTTTAAGTCCAGAATGGCTCTCCACTCCCCTGACCGCTTTGGAACTACGAACAGGATGGAATAATACCCCTGTTTCCATTGATCGTGGGGGACCTCCTCTATGGCGTGAATCTGTAGTAGGTGCTGAACTGCTTGGTTCATTAATTGACGTCTGGATTCGCTTTTGGAAGTTGGACATTGAAGAAAGCGGGTTGGAGGCCTGGAGAGAAATTCCAGGGGGAGGCCGAATTTTACAACTGAAAGAACCCAAAGGTCTGAAGATGACCTTTCCCACCTGTCCGCGAAGAGGGACAGGCGACCCCCTACTGGAGGATTTGGTAGTGAGTCACTTACGACTGCGGGACTGGCGGAAACCAGAACCCCGAAAGGACCGTTTGGGCTGGAATTGTCTGCTCCTGTCCCGAAAATATTGACGGTCCGAGGATCGATAGGATCCCTGAAGATATTCCTGCCTGGAGGGGCCTCCCTGGGGGTAGGAACGAAAGGAAGGCCTTCTGTAATATGGAGAGGGTCTTCCTTCAGCCCGTTTGTATGTTGAGGGCAAAATTTTTCGCTTGTCCCGTGTCTCTACAAGAAGAGGGTCAAGTGATTCCCCAAATAGTCTGTTTGCAGAATATGGAGCTGCAGCCAAGCGCCATTTGGCCTTAAGGTCAGCAGGCCATTGGCGAAGCCAGAGCATCCTGCGGGCTGAAACTGTAGAGGCTAAGGCTCTGGATGCAAATTTGGCTGAATTCAAGGTTGCATCAGCCGAAAATTGAGTGGCAGCAATGATTTTATTAATATCCTGATGAAGGCGAACCTCACTGGGGGGTACCTTTGCCTGTAACTGTTGAAGCCAAAGGATGGTAGTCCTATTAAAAAATGAGGCTGATGAAGCTGATTGAATTGCCCATGCCGAGGCCTGATGGTTCTTTTTAAACAGAAATTCTAACTTTTTGTCTTCTGGCCTTAGACCTTCAGAAGTATCCCCAGTTACGTATGAAGAAGAAGAGGAAAGGGCCGCTACAGGACTGTCTACAGGTGGAACTTGCAAGAGTTGAGCAAACTTTGGAGCAACAGCATAATATTTCTTATCTGAACCATGTGCAGATGCCATGGTTGCAGGCCCAGCCCACTGTTTCTTTACCACGTCTATGAACAGTTGTGGAGTTGGTACATAACAAAGTTCAGGGGGGGGGCTCAGAAAAAGGTCCCTGTAGTCCACCCTTTTGAGCCTCCTGCATCTCTTGAAAGTATTCATCTTCCTTTAAGGCGGCTGTTAAGCGAGCCTTATGCAATAAAGACTTGAATTTATTGGGGGGAAATAATCCTGTAAAGGCAGGTTGATCTTGGATTATCCCCTCATCATCTGATAGGTCAGAATGTCTCTCTTCCTCAAACACAAAGGCTTCACTAACTCTGGAGGCTGCAGGAGAATGAGAGCCAGTAAGACTGACTGCAGGAGAAATTCTAATACGGGCAGATCGCTCTGAAATAGCAGAGCCAGAGTGGTGACCATGAATATTGGCTGCCATTCTAGAAGCAATGGCCTGTTCAATCAGAATTCTCAATCCTTCTGGCACATTTTTTAAAGGATCTTCGGGGGTTAGCACAGGCATAGAGGATTCACCTGTTGAAGCAGCTGCAGCTGCAGGCCCACCAAATACAGGAGTTGCAGGGGTCATTAATTGACTTGCAAAGGGGTTTTGCAAATTGCTTTGGTCTTGTTGAAGAACATTACCCTCTCCCTCCGAAGACCAGGCCTGGCTAACAGTTGAAATGGGAGGAGGGGGGGTAGATGGGGGGGGGGGTCCCCTTATCAGGCTCAGTTGCAGGCACTTCACTAGCTTGCTTTTCTAGAGATTTATGCCTCTTTGCTAAATCCTTCTCCTCAGGCTTAGAAAGGTGCTTACGTTTGGAAGTTGATTTCTTCCCAGTGTACATAGTATTTTCCTCCCCATGGGAAGAGCGATCCGCCATGTTTAGTATACTCACTGCGACCACGATGTCGACTGGAGAAATAGCTTTTGGTTTCAGTTTCACCACGTGGTTGAAATTTGAGATGGCAACGACTCTGGCGTTAAGCACGATGGCTGCCAGGTCACACTTGAGCAGGAGGAAAACTCTGCTCTGGAGGTATCTGTCTAGGCAAGCCTAGAAACGGACCTCCTCAGCGCCCCCCCCAGCCACAAAGAGAAAAAAATAAAAATACTGGCTGGAAATGCCACAGGGGGAGGCAAGAAGAAGCTTGCTGCCCCCCCCAAACTTGCAGACTCGTTGGTGGCAAAGCGGCAAAAAACTTCCTTTTAAAATTGCCGCGGGGCTTCAATTAACCGCTCTACAGCTGATCAGCGGTTTTGGGATCGCTGTAGGGTGGACGGCGGCCCGATTTGGCAATTTCCCTTAAAATTAGGTAATTGCTATTATTGTTGGTGGTATTGTGGTCTAGGGCCCCTTAAACAATCGTTGGTGGGATAGATCAAAAAAATCCCCCCCAAAAAAGACAGGAAAAAGAAAAAGGAAAAAAGTTCCCTTTTAAAATGGGGCTTTCAAAATGGCCGCCGCCAGGAGCGAAGCAAAGCCTGCAGCTTAGGAGGCTCTAGCAAAGCAAAACCGGCAGGCTACAATAGAAGGGGGGGAAAAATTTTTAAAGGGGAAGTAACAATTTTAAGCTATAGAAATAAAAAGGTGGTCAAAAGGACTTACAATTCTGTGATATTGAACAGACCTGGGCTGTATAGCCAGATCTGTAGGAGATGTTTCTCTCAGGCCGACTGAGTCTAAACTGAGCATGAAAGGGGCGGAGCAAGGGGAGTGGTCAAAAGTTATGACTCAGCCAGCATCAGATCCGACTGATATAACCCTCATCTGGACAATGTCACACCCTCATCAAGGAAATCCTCTTAATACTGACAGGGCAAGCCACTAGAATATAAACAGAGAGCAAACCACAACTCCCTACTAGCACTGATGTTAATGATGGGTAATGAAACATCTGCAGGAAAACAACTAAGTTCAGAGAGCTCCAAGAACCCCTCATTTCAAATGTTCTTCCTTATTATATTACCTGCAGATTCTGTAGAGCCAGATTTTCTCTTGTGCTTCCTCCATGCACTTGATACTGAGGAGATCGTCCCATCACTGTACTGAAAATCCCCAAAATGGCTTTTACTGCACCATCTATATTTACGTTGATATGATAGCTGGGGAAAGAAATACTGACTCTGTAATTGTATCTAAACTAGCACTAATAATAAATAAAGCATGCACAACAGGTTAATAAAGAAAGGATGTAATTCGGATTTTCAATAATGCTTTCATGTTTAAGCATTATGCAATCCTTTTAAGAGCCTTGGTGGTTACCAAGTGTGGTATTGCAGGCAAACTCTGCCCACAGCCTGGAGTTCGATCTTGACAGGACTCGAGGTTGACTCAGCCTCCCATCCTTCCATGATCGGTAAACAAGGACCCAGATTATTGGGGGCAATATGCAAACAATACTTCAACATTGTAAACCGCCCAGAAAGTCCTGTAAAGCATTAGGGGCGGCATATAAGCCTAAATGATATTGCTATTAAGCATTATGCATTAGACACAATGCCAGTTGGATAACCTTGGCTAGAAGGAGGCAATGGTAAAGCACTTCTGAGATCTTGCCAAGAAAACTACAGGGACATGTCCAAGTAGTTGTCAAGAATCAAAAAGATGACCTGAAGGCACACACACAGTTAAAACATTTTTAAGAGTTTCATTTCACAAACATAGCTCTCAGTTTTTATAGCTAATACTACCTCTAGTTAGGCAAATGCTGGCCAATTGCATTTTTCTGTAAAATAGAAAATATGTTTGTGAGAATGTGTGCCCTAGGTTGAGAAAGATTACTCTATAGCAAAAAAATGTATTTATTATTGGGAATGAGGAGAGTAGTAATTTGGAACAGTTTGGATTAGATGGATTGTTGCTCTGACTTGGAAAAAAATATTCTACTTCAAATATGATAAGCAACATTTCATTGAGTGTCACTTTGAGATCCTAGCTTAAATTTAGGCCATGAACAAAAGAGCAGGTGGAATAGACTAAAAGAAGTTCAGTAGTTGAATACTCAAGAAATGTTTTTTCATCTCCTCTTGTATGGAAAATCTGTCACTCACGAAGACTTTTTTTTTAAACAAGTACATATTGAAAAGCACTATTTATGCCCCAAAGAGTGGGAAATGGAATTGGTTAATGAGAGAAATGTTTTAAGTCATAAGAAAGACCACACCAAACCTGAAATTTAAACTAACACTTTTAAACCATGTTCTCTCTTCTTTAAAATACTGTTCGTGGTGACCTCTGATACATTTTACTACTCAATAGAGGCGTAATTTTGCATTTGAGGATTTTTATTACAAGTATCACTCCAGATTGGGGCTGGAATGCTTTTTAAACACATAATATAGTTTAACTACTCAATGTTAATTTTTATACCTGCCTATTTCTTCAGCCAAAGACTTGGCTCTGTCATAAGTATCCTGAGAAGAATTCTCACTAGCCATGTAGCAAGTTGTTAAAAGACGGCCACACAGCTCCTGGGCTTCCTTTGGTATATACATTTCATCATTTACAATTCTGCGTACATCATCCAAAACTGTCTGATCTGAAAAAAAGAGGGCAGGAAAAAGAGGAGTGTGGACAAAACATTATTTTCACATTTGTATTTAGAACACAAAATGGAAAACCATTTATTTCAATTCATAAAATAAACCCCTGTATTAAAAACTGTTTAAGTCTGTTTCAATTTACAGATCAACCCACATATACATTTACTTCTATTCTGAACAAGTAACTTAACCAGAAGAAGACTTAACTAGAAGAAGTTGGTATCTTAAGTACAACAAAAATGTGACTTAATTTATTTACAGATTTGTGTAAGACTTAAACCAGCACATACATGCAATAATATTAAATTTGAGTGAGAGAATATTTAAGAAACATTTCTTGATTTCAAAAGCAGAAGTTAAACTTGCTTTTGATTCTGATACAGTATGTTCCTATGCATGTTTTACTGCAACATAGAACCCATTATGTTATGTATTTACAGGTAGTTCCTCAGTTATAACCACAATTGAGCACTAAATGTACTAAGTGAAATAGTTGAGTATTGCCCCATTCTGAGCTTTTTTGCCACAGCTGTTACGTGAATCACTGAAGTTGTTAATAACAAGGTGGTTAAGCGAATCTGACTTTGCTTTGACTTTGCTAAAAGATTGCAAAAGGTGATCACATGATCCTAGGTCACTGCAACTGTCATAAACTATATGCCGGTTGTCAAGCATCCACATTTTGAATCATATGACCATATACATGCTGCAACAATTGTTAAATGTGAAAAATGGTCATTAGTTATTTTTTTTTCAGTGCCACTGTAACTTCAAACAGTCCCTAAACAAATAGTGGAAAGTTGAGGACTACCTGTACTCCTTTGTTTTTAAACACCCTGATTCCATATGAGAGATAAGCACACACATTACAATCTTTGACTAAAATCAACTGGACTAGAAAATTTAACTTTGGCTGAATTTTTTATAATGTTTTTATAAAAGATAGTTAATGTATAAGAAAATGCAATTTACAGAACTTAGTTATAGAGTGTAGCATGTTATTGACATGAAATTAACCTAATAAAATTAAAAATAAGAAGTCAGATGTAGGGAAAATAAGGAATCAATAAAAAAATTCTTCACAAAAGAGTTAATATATAAGACATGCTAATATTGCATGCTCTGTCAGCAACCAGTAGTCAGTGACAACATGGTTGAAGAGGGCTATTGTCTTTATGTCTGCCTGAGTCTCAAAAGGGGTGTGTGTGTGTGTGTGTGTGTGTGTGTGTGTGTGTGTGTGTGTGTTAGTTATATAAAAAGAAAGCAGGATTGGCTATTGTCTTTCTGTCTGCCTATGAGCCTGTTTGTGTGTGTGTGTGCATGTGTGTGTGCGTGTATGTATGTATGTATGTGTACATGTACACGTACACACACACACACGTACACACACACACTTTCAGTTATATAAAAAGAAAACTGGATTAACTGACTCTGGCATTATCCAGAATTTCAGAAAGCTAATGTAATGGTATGTGAGAAAGAACTTGAGAAAGACAAGCGGATTAGAGAAGGGATAACCTGCAGCTGCATAATGAGAGAGAGGCTCAGAAAGGGCCCTATCCCTAACTTCTCAGGCTGTAAAGAGGAGGCAGTGTGCGATATATTAGTATCTCTTTGCCCAGTTTCTCAAATCTTTCTGACACACCATTACAGCTAATCACAATAAAAAAATGGACCAAAGGTTCAGTTTAATTTTTTCAAAGGCACAAGGGGGGGGGGGAGGCATCACACCACATATGATAGTGGAGCAGGTTTGGAGGGTACATTCTGAACGTTTTTTAGTGAAGGCATGCCTACTTTACGGCTATGTTTCCATTTTCAAATCTCAGCCTTTGCTATTAGTTTTTAGTAATTATAGTATTGGGAATCTCCAAGTTGAGTTATAAAAATGGGCTCTGGGAATATATGCATTCCTGAAGATACAAATTGGTCACCCCTTCACTGAAGGAAACTATTTCCATGTGAGAGAAATGGAATTATTCCTGTAAAGAATATAGCCTAAGTGACTCCATATTTACACTTCTCATGACCTAAGATAACTCTAAACTATTTGGCAGCGTAAGGCACTTAGGAAGGGGATGGATGGATGGATGACGCCTTTTCTGAGGAAGCCCAGCCATACAATTAGGTTTGTACATTCTGAGTTGGGTCAGGCTGACCAAAGCTAAATTAATAGAAGCAAGGAAGCTACCATGTTCCAATTAATTGTTTTTGTTAAGGACGTATAGGAATTCGGTTGGGGATTTCTAAATGGGGACTGTGTTGCTGAATAAGCCAAAACTTTATGTTACGTCCTATAAACAATGATAAGAGGGGGCGTTTTAATTGTTTTGCTGATTGCTCGAAAGCGTATTTAAACCATGTATTCGGACCTGTAAGATGTTCTCTCTCTTTCATGGGAGAACCCTTTTGAAAAAGCTTATGATATATATACCTCTATATATACCTATAATAAATCTGCTTTTTACTTGTTGATGGTCTCTGCCTTACTTTCTATGAGGTTTGTCATTTTAAAATATCACACCATGGATTGAAGTTGGGGAGATTACTACCGGTATCACTTATAACTTCATCCTTTGATTTCTCTTCCTCCTAAATTAATAATGCAGCAGCATTTCAAACAAGCCAGTAGCAATTATCTCAGGGTATTTTTGGCAATCAACACTATAATTTTCTCCAGTGTAATTATATCGATAAGCAGATAAGCAGGTGATGGGAGCAACGTGGAGCTCCCATGTAACACCTCTCCTGCGCGAGCTGCACTGGCTCCCGGTGGTCTTCCGAGTGCGCTTCAAGGTTTTGGTTACCACCTTTAAAGCGCTCCATGGCTTAGGACCTGGTTATCTACGGGACCGCCTGCTACCATCAATAGCCTCCCACCGGCCAGTACGCTCCCATAGAGAGGGGCTCCTCCGGGTGCCGTCGGCCAAACAATGTCGACTGGCGGCCCCTGGGGGAAGAGCCTTCTCTGTGGGGGCACCTATGATCTGGAACGAGCTCCCCCCGGAGATACGGAGGATCCCGGATCTTCGCACCTTCCATCGCGCGCTTAAAACGTTTTTATTTCATCAAGCTGGCGTGGCCTAAATCTTCTTTTTTAAATTTAAATTTTAAACACAAATTTTAATCTGTTTAATTATGGGGTATTTTAAAATTCAGCCTAAATTATTTAATTTGTTTTAATCTATTTTAAATTTTGTATCTCTGTGTTTTATCCTCTGGCTGTTCACCACCCTGAGTCCTTCGGGAGAAGGGCGGTATAGAAATTTAATAAAATAAATAAATATTGTAACACAAGTTATATATTGCAGAAAAAGATTTGTGATTCAGAACTCAACATTTAATCCTTTAAGCATTATGCCCAAACAAAATACTCCTTCCAGAAAGTTCGACATCTTTAAAGCTAATTCCATCCTGTTTAATTAGCAAGTGCTCTAAATATAGAGACATACCACCTATGTAGTTTTCAAATTGTGTGTCAAAAAGGCTTACTTGAAAGCCTCTTGGGAACATCTCAGTGAGGGCCTGGTAACAAAGGACCAACTAATTACTGATTTTGCTCACACTACTAATTTTTTTCTAGAAAATACGGCTGCAATTGAGCGCTGAAAATGTTAGATGATATGTGTTATACAGAGAGAGACTAAAAACTTCATCAGTTTAACAACAGCCTAACCAAAAGTATAACCTGGAATAGGTGGGCATAGCACTTCAATTTCCAAGAGGCAAATGTGCATCTTTTGCCAGCATTTTATTATAGCTGTGGAAAGGCAGCTGCATGATTTTAGGACAAGATGCAATTGCTTTAAGAAGTTGCCAAGAGATGTTACAGAAGTATATTCCCACCACATACTTCAAAATAGTCTACTTTTCCTTTTCAAATCCAAAGCATAGCAAAGCCTTAGTTATAATTATAATTTATAATTATAATAAATTGTAATTATAATTTCCTAATACCGTACCACATGTTAAATACTCAGAGAATTGCTCGGGGATACACTCTAGATTGATAGTTAAGGGCAAAAGATTCAGTTCAATTGGTACATTTGCTAAAAAGGTTAATGTCAAATAATGTAAAAAACGATGGAGGGGCCAATTATGTAATTCAATTAAAAAAAAGTTTATATAATCAATGAACAAATTAAATATAGAAAGGGTTTCCTAGAAATATGAAAACTGACACAACTACAACTAACCTTTGGTAACCCAAACTGCTCAAATGCACTTACTTCCATTTTTTACTGCATAACAAATCTGAAGACACATGGAATAGACAATGCAGGCTGCAGATGAACTGTCCACACCACCACTAAGTGGCAAGAAAAATCCTCCCTTAACAATCACAATAAGGAAATCAAATTAGAACATTGTTGGGAACCATGCATGCAATTCTTCAGGACTTGTATCTTCAAATTGTTAATATTATAGTTCAACATTATTTATTTCTAGTTACAATTATCCATGAATGGCCCTAATTATTAACATCCAAAATGAAGATTAATTTATAATTTTTAATCTATTTGCAAACAGATATAGAAAATATTGTCTAAAATCCTGCAGCTGTAAAGGTAAGACAAGAAGGTTCTTTGTATTAGTTTGGCTGAGACTACAGGTCGTCTTCAATTTACAACCACAACTGAGTCCAAAATTTATGTTGTTGAGTGAGAAATTGATTAAATGAGTTTTGCCCCATTTTGCAACCTTTTTTGCCACATTTGTGAAGTGGATTTTTTCCCCTTCACTAAACCAGGCGTGGATGTGGCCAGCGTGTGACGCATTCAGCCCGTGGGCTGTGAGTTTGACAGCCCTGCATAGAGATTGGATCATCTCCTCAGTGCTTGCTCGGTTGGGTTCGTCAATCGGAACCTTGACATTGGCGTTCAAGGCATTTTTCTTAAATAATATGACAGATGGCTATTACCTAATTAGAAGTGTGTTCATCTGTATAGTATAAAGATAAAGATAAGCTGAGTTCTGGCATAAGGAACGTGCTACATTTTATGTATACAATTCATAAATACTCTCATAAATGGGAGTTCCCTCCATTTATGAGAGTACGCATAGTGTACTCTTAATTTCCAAATATGGCTATGGACTCAAAGATTGGGGATTCTTGCTTTAAGTCATTAGCAGATGAACAATGCTACAAACACGAAGCATCACTCATCACAATCCCAACTCATGTTGTATTCATTTACTTCATATGTCAAAAATTTCAGCTGCAAAGCCACTAAGGCATTATCAGTGTAAAACTCTCTAATACAGGGGTGTCAAACTCAATTTCATTGAAGGCCGCATCAGGGTTGTGTCCAGTGGTGGGATTCAGCTAGTTCACACCGATTTGAAAGAACCGTTCATTAACTTTCTGAGCAGTTCAGAGAACCAGTTGTTGGAAGAAATCTCCTTTTGTTTTTTTCTAGCTAATCCTGTAAGGAAGGCAGGAAGGAAACAGTCTGGTGTTGTTCCTAGCCTATTGCTTACAGAAACCGCCTTTCCATTAAGCCTTATTACATTGTAACAGTTAAAGGTTCTTGGCACTATGCTCTAGCCTGAGTCTGAGCTTCTCCAGAGGGTTTTTTTTTTCTTTGCTGGTACTTTGCTTTATTAGGGGCTTGACTTTCTTAAAGAGGAAGGGTTGTTTTAAGCTTTTTACACTGCTTTAGTGGTTCCTGGCACTGTTCTTTTGGGTGTACTTCCAAGAGGCAGGATCCAGGCTTGGCACTGATTTTTTTTACTGCCTTTCTGGGGGCATGTGATCTTTCCTTAAATCTGGACGATTTCCTTAGGATATCTTGTGAAGTGAATAAGACCAATTGGTATCTTTAAATAGTGCAAATGGATCTAAGGATTGCTTCTCCTGGCTGTGAAAGGGTGCTTTGTCAATTCGCTGAGCACAGAAGTCTCTTGTCTATGGGGATTCTTCAATCATCCAGATCATGGCTGTCACTTTCTTGGTTTCCAGAAAGTCCAGTTGACTTGAAAAAGCACCTTTGGTGTTTTTGCATTGCTTTGGAGTGGCTAAGGCACATGATTGTTCACTGATAGTTAAACTTTTTTTTTTTTTTTTTAAAGGAGGTAGGGGTGTGGATCCTCCAATTTGTTTAAGTTTTCTCTTATGATAATAAGGCTTAGTAACATGGCACCAGTCTTGAAATTTATTTAGATATCTGTGGCATGTACTAATTTTATTGTGATCCTGACAAGCTTGGGAGGCTTGAACCTGGGTCCCCTATATAATTTGTTAATTTGTCTCTTTAGCTTGCCATTTTGTAGCCCAAAAATGCCCACCCACTTTCTGGAGATCTTAAATGATCTCTCTGCTAAAGGGTTTCACTTTATGAGCAAGAGTTGGCTGCTGATAGTTATCATTGCATTTTAACTATTTTAATTCCTCAAGGTGCTCTGACACCCTGCCTGACTTGTAACTCTGGCTTGCTGGTATTTCTAATCTAATGACTGGTATTTAGGACAGCTTTTTGCACGCAAAGAAGCTTTTTGTATTTTTGTAGCGGTAATCCTTGATTTACAACAGTTCATTTAATGACCATTCAAAGTTACAATGGCACTGTAAAAAGTGACTTATGACCGTTTTTCACACTTACGACCATTGCAGCATCCCCACAGTCACGAGGCCGGGCAAGGCGAAGCGCCCCTTGACGTGACTGATGTCAAGTTGGCCATGCCCACCCAGTCACACCTACCCAGCTGGTCATTAGGGCAGAAAACTGGTTGTTAAATTATTTGAATCCCACCACTGGTTGTGTCTGACCTCGGGGGGGGGGGGAACCTTGACGTCACTTGTTCCCCCCCCGCCAAGCTCCATTTTCGCTGGTAGAGGGCTGCAGGACGCCGTCGCAGCCAAAAATGGAGCCTCCCGATCTCCGTTTTCACTGGGAGAGGTACTACAGGCCAGTCCTTTGTTGTTTCCAGGACGGCCCTGCAGGCCAAATCTAAGCACTAAGCCTTGAGTTCTATACCCCTGCTCTAATATAATAATAGGGAATTATGCTCTATTGAAAGGGCGAAGAGAACAAGCTTAGGCAGCAAGAGTTTTTGCTAATGGCAAAATGCCCATTCCCACGCTCTTCTTGTATAAAACCAGTTTGTTTCAGTCCAACTGCTCTGGAGTCAGCTCAAAGAGTCAAGTTGTCAAGTAGATGATAGAGAATGATGCAGGTGGTGAGTCACAGGCCAAAGGCAACATACATAGGTCCATTGCTACTGCAAGTTTCTAGTTTATACAGAGAGGAGTGAGGGGGAGAGAGAAACCTTCTCTTCTTTCCCTAATCTTCATACAGATTTTACCATTCCTTAGAATTTGGGTCAATAAAAAAATTAAAATCTTTACCTGTTTACTACACCTTAAGTAGTCCCAAAGCCAACATGCTGGACCTAGGCTGAAATACAGCAGACATATTTTAAAAGAAATATAAAAAGCATACTTTCACAAAATTATGTCATTTGTCTTCCTGGGATCACTAATTATCATCATTAATGTTTTTATAGTAAAGCAATGTGCCTTTATTTATGTTGTGTACAATTATCCATTATAGAGGAGGCGTGCATAAGTGCACTAACGTGCCTATCGTCCCTGTTACTGTATTTTTATTCTTTTATTCTCATTCTTGTTTTTGTTTGACAAATTCTAATAAATAAATAAATAAATAAATAAATAAATAAATAAATAAATAAATAAAATAATAGCACAATCATGTAGGGTTACTCAGAAGAAATTCCAAAGAGCCTAGGTTTTATTCCAAGTTCTTGTGCCCTCACTGCAACTGAAGGTTCTTACCCTAAATGAAAATTCCTTCCTTCAAGAAAAGATCATTTCCAGAGGCATACGATACCATAGGGCAGAGTTCCCCAATGTTTCCGCTTTGCAGACCAGCGGGAGGAGGGGATGGTTCACACAAGTGGCTGACAAGCGCTCCATTAACAAATGGAGCGTGTGTGTGCACACATTTGCTCACTGCTCGCCCAAGTGAGGATGCATGTGTATGCGTGCATGCTCGCCAGCTGTTTCAATGGCCCAGCTGCAAACCCCTCATTAGTGAGCATGGCCCACAGGTTGGGTACCTCTGCCATAGAACATCATTGATGTTCTATGCCAAAGGCTGCCTCGGTGAAATGCTAATTGTTTCTTTATTTTTAATTATTCTCTGCAACTCACTACGGATTTCTTACTCATGAGACCATCTGCTAAGAATTAAGCAACGTTTCTTTAAGGAGCAGCGTTCTGTGATCTCCCCCACTCCACCCTCCACCCCCGTCTTTACAAACGCGGAGGAGATTCTAACACAGGAAGAAGCCATTTCCCCCGAGTTATGGATTACCAAGAAAACCAAATGGAGGAAGCGGAGATGAGGTAAAAGGGCAGGAATTTTAATCAAGCTAAGAAGTAGGGGAAACAGAACTGCTCTGCCTTCAATCTTCCTGACGAATTTGCGTTCACTTGCTAACTTAGATGAAATACTCCTTATAAACAGATACACAACTCTGATTTTCACAGCGCAACTGCTCTATCTGGTTACATGATGAAATTGATGATAACAGCATGCAAAGTCCACGGTTTCAGATACATAGAGCAAACAGAATTGCATAATCCTCCTTTCAGGTAAAATGAAGGGAGGAGGCTTATGCTTATATATCAACAGCAGCTGGTCTCAGGATTTAACTATAATATATAAATTCTGTGATGAAAACTTAAGAGTCTTTACTTATCAACTGTAAACCATTTTACTGTCCACGCAAGTTCTCCTCATTTCTATTAATTGCTGTTTATGTCCTCCCACGAGCCTGTGTAAACAAGGTATTACAAACTCTAGCTGACCAGATTATGGAGGCTGAAGCCAAATACCCCGATTCACTGGCCATTATTTTGGGAGATCTAAACAAGGCAAACTTAAGAAAAGAACTACCAAAATACTTTCAGCATGTCAATTGTCCCACTAGAGGCAAGAATACTTTAGATCATTGCTACACAACACTAAAAGATGCTTATTAGTCCTTACCATGAGCAGCTGTGGGACACTCTGATCATTGCATGATTCAACTTGTACCTGCTTACAGGCAAAGACTTAAAACCACAAAACCAACAATTAAATCAGTGAAGACCTGGACGGAAGAGGCAAAGTTAAAGCCACAGGCCTGCCTTGACTGCACTGATTGGAATGTTTTTGAAAGTACCTCTGCAGACTTAGATGAACTCACAGATACTGTAACATCATATGTCAGCTTCTGTGAAGACCTATGTGTACCGACCAGGAACTTGTGAATATACAGTAACAACAAACCTTGGTTCACAGCTAAACTTAAGCAGCTATATCATTCCAAAGAGGAAGCCTACAGAAAAAGTGATCAAATGCTGTACAATCAGGCCAGAAATGTATTGTATTAACAAGGGAGATTAGAGCAGCAAAAAGAAGCTACTCTGAAAAGATAAAAAATCAGTTCTCAACAAATGAACCAGCAAACATGTAGAAAACTCTTAAAAATATCACCAGTTATGACAAACCTCCTTCCCAAGCTGAAGGAAATCAACAACTAGCAGATGATCTGAACATGTTTTACTGCAGGTTTGAAAGGAAACTACAGCCACCTATCTCCACAACCCACATCTCAGACACACTAACAACAGCCAAGCCTCCTACAACTGATCCTATCTCAGACACACCAACAACAACCAAACTTCCTACAACTGACCCCATCCCATTGGGTTCACAACCCCTAGTGATCACAGAAAAGGAAGTGCAAGACCTATTTCACAGACAAAAACCAGGAAAAGTTCAATGCCCAGATACCATAATTGCTTCTTGCTTAAAAGTCTGTGCTGACAAATTGGCCCCATCTTCACCCATATCTTCAATAAATCGCTAGAGATGTGCTATGTTCCTTCTTGTTTCAAACGCTCTACTATCTTCCAGTGCTGAAGAAGCCCACCATCAAGGAACTGAATTACAGACCAGTTGCTCTAACATCTGTAGTTATGAAAACCTTTGAAAGGCTACTGCTATCTCACTTGAAAACCATCACATATCCGCTGTTAGACCCCCTGCAATTTGCATACCGAGCAAATAGATCAACAGATGATTCTGTTAATATGGCTCTGCACTACATCCTACAACATCTTGAATCTCCAAAGACCTATGCAAGGGTCCTCTTTGTAGACTTTAGTTCAGCATTCAACACTATCACTCCAGACATTCTTCTAACTAAGCTAAACCAGCTAGCGGTACCTGAACACACTTGTAAATGGATCATAAGCTTCCTAACAGAAAGGAAGCAACAGGTGAAGCTAAGCAGAATCACATCAGATACCCGTACAATGAGCACAGGGCCCCCCCAAGGCTGTGTGCTCTCTCCACTTCTCTTCTCTCTCTATACCAATGACTGCATCTCAAACAATCCATCTGTTAAAACTACTGAAGTTCGCAGATGACACAACAGTGATTGGTCTCATTTGAGACAATGATGAATCCGGATATAGACGGGAGGTTGAACAACTAGCCTTGTGGTGCGACCAGAACAATGTGGAACTGAACACGCTCAAAACTATAGAAATGCTGGTGGACTTTAGGAGAAACCCTCCCATACTAACACTGCTTACAATACTAGACAACACAGTATCAACAGTAAAGACCTTCAAATTTCTATGTTCTACCATATCTCACGACCTAAAATGGACACCCAACATCAAAAACGTCATCAAAAAAGCACAACAAAGAATGTTCTTTCTGCGCCAATAAATAAATAAACAAACACAAAAGTATGCATATATCCACATATATTATATAAAATAGAGGAACAACACAGTCTAGTTTGGATGTATACATGTACCTGGCAAGAAAAATGAATCTTGCGAGTTTACCAGACGGATGGCATAGGGAACAAAGCTATTACAAAATCTGGAAGTCCTGCTAGAAATACACTGAAACCTCCTCCCAGAGGGGAGCAACAGAAACAGACCGTGAAGTGGGTATGTGGGGTCTTTAACAATGCTTTGAGCTTTAAGCACATAGCGCTTATAAGCGATATCCTAAATGACAGGAAGCGAGCTTTCCATAATCTTTTCAGCTGTCCTTACCACTCTCTGAATGGACTTTCTCTCTGAGGCACTGCATCCATCAAATCAAACAGTGATGCAGTTTGTTAAAACGCTCTCAATTGTGCCTCTGTAAAAAGTGGCCAGGAAAGAAGGAGAAAGATGTGGTCATCCTCTGCATGCTTCACTAAGAATGACGTATGGAGAAACCAATTCAGATTGTTAGTTATCTGCACCCCCAGATACTTAATACTGTTGACCACCTCTACAGCTGAATCCTTGATACTGAGTGGAGTATAACCATGCTCCACTCAGAAAAGCAGAGTTAAATTAAAGAGAATGAAGATGGAGTAAATAAAGTCTATACGAATTACACCTAACCAACCAAACCCTTTACCAATTCTGAGTATATGCTGCTATGTTCCTGTGCTACATGTGCCTCCCCTCCCTATAGCTTCCAGCCACATGTCCTTGGTGCAGGCAAAGTCATACATAACCCATTTTGCCTACCTGATCTCTTCCTCAGGACTATGATACTTCCATTGGATAGGTTCACTTGTTGGTGTGCATATATCATCGGAGTTTGACAATGCAAAGTTTACTTTTATTCTAGGGTAAGGAGACACTTTGCTTGCCTGGTCAATTAAAAAAGAAAAATAAAGTCACACTACACAGACAATATGATATTTTTCAATAAAAGCAATGTATCTGACAATTCTGCTTTATGCCCATTGCTTGTAAATGTATGTTATGCATTGTTAAACTTATTCATTTATTTATAAATGAAAAAACAAGAAATTCTTACTGCTAAGTTTCGGGACGATATTTCTGCTCTATAACTTCTGACGTCTTCTAAATCCAAAGTGGCAACGAGAACTTCCTAAAAAAAGTGACAGAGAAATTAATATCCTTCTAAGTACAACATTTTTGAAACCATTTTTCCCTAGAGGGCTATAGTGTAATTGTAGTTAACTAGTTATATAGTTTATATTGAGAGGCACAAAAGCACTTTGAGCTTCTTTAACCCCACTGATATTGATAAAGTTCCTGTTATGTGCCAACCCTCACAGATAGGAGTATTTGTTGAATACTGTAATTTATATTAACTAACATTATCAAGCATTGCACCCCCTGCTAGAGCATTACTATGTCATCCAGTGAAAATTGACGTCCTTGAGCAACTGTAGCACCATTCATAGATATCATGGCACATCCATCATAATACAAGCGATCACCATCACAGCCTTTCTGGTTTGCCAAGACGTAGATTCCTCCATTCTGGAAAAAGATGTATATTAGTGTAAATGCATGTGTTCTTATTACAACAACCTTTTACTGTACGTTTAAACAGCAGAGGAACTGTTTGGCAATCTTATTTAGGATAGCATTAAGCATTACTATTTGGGCCATCCTGAAGTAATATGGCTATCGGGGGCACAGTAGTGTTGACTTTTATGTGAAAGCAAGCTAGTACATGTCAAAAATGCATTTTACTACATCAGAACAATCATGACTCTTCTTTTAAGATTTGGAGTCCTTTAATAGGTACAATGCAAAACTGCAACTGCAACCAGTTATTTTTCTACATAGAGATGATTTCTGGTGATAGAACTGTAAGAAGATAGAAGGAGAAGAGGTACAGATAAATGCCACAGTGTCTTGTTTCCATCACTATGAGAGCCTCAGGTGGCAACAAGGACTCAGGTGGCACCTTCCTTGAGACGTAGTAACAATAATTTTAAAAAATTACCACATATAAAGTAAAAATATGCCAGGAACATACCTTTGTTGTTGCAGAATTTACCAACTCCACTCGAGTGTGTGCTTTTCTTAACACGTGGTGACTTGCAGAGGAATTTGTGAAGATTTCCACACCATCAATTCCCATTTCAATGTGAGGGCTATAAAATAAATACCAAGCAAATAAATAGCCTGCCTCCATGCTAGCCAAAAGATTCATTTTACTATTATGACACACTACAAAAGAGTAAAAGAACTGAGAAGTTAATGGACTTTGTAAGCCACTAACCCAGCAGGAACATCCTGTTTGTTTAAAAAATACAAATTCAGTGAAATTGTTGTGATTGATTGATTGATTGTCTGACTTACTAACAGTAATGGCAAGCCGAAGGTTAATTTTAATGGTATGTTTGAGGGATGGTGGTAGTGGTGTATGAAGTTAAGGATTCCTCCTCTTGTACTGCTGGAATTGTTTTATAAAACCAACCTGTAGTTAATAGTGAAAGCTGAAGTAATTGGAGTCTCTAAGCAGCCAGCAACCAGCTTTGGAGAAAGCTGGCTCCCAGATACCATCAGAAGCTGGAGAATATGTTGGTCAGCTTGGAAATCAGCTATTCAGCTACAGCAACACCACAGATCAGCTATTGTGAGGTGCAGAGTGCAAGTCTGGAAGCACCACTAATCAGCTGTCAGGTCTAAATTGCTGAACACCAATGACAATGGTACTGAAGGTTTTTGTGGCAGCAGTAGACATATACCCAGTAGCATCTGTGGCTTCTCATTTAACTTGTCAGAGGCGGTGATATCAGCAATCCAGATCTAAATGGCCTCTGTGTGCTGGAAACCTAGCATGCTTGGGTGCAATGTTAGAGCTGAAGAAGAAGTGGATCATCTGGAGCCCTTTCAGTCAGGTTTCAGGCTAGAAGTAGTACTCCAATGGCATTGACTGAGCTTGTAGATGATCTATAGCAGGAATGGGATGGGGGTGGTGCATCCATCCCAGCCTTCCTTGATCTCTTAGAGACCTTCAATACAACTGATCATAGTATCATTTTGGATATTATGGTCCTAGGTGCCTTTATTCAGCATTGCCATAACTTTAAACAGTCACGGAATAAGTCAAGGGCTACTTGTACATTACAGCCTAACACTGAAATTATGAATATACTTAGCTTTTTTGTGATTGTCCTGATATTAAGAAGTAGTATCAGGAAAGATAAGAATCCTCTGAAGGTGGTATTTAACATATAGGAATCTTTTATCTAGTATCAATTTTTATCCCTAATAATTATGGCATTTCCATTTGGGCAACGAACATATTTGCATGGTAATCTGGCAAGCTCTGGTTTGTTGCATGCTGTTTTAGCAGAAGCCCTGTCGAAAGAACTATTGAAAAGTTCAAAATAAGGCACTGAAGACAAAATATTCAATATCTTCAAAGGTATCTTTGTGTACAGAAATTAGCGCAGTTAACACTTTTAAACAAATTATAGAGAAGACTAAAGCCCATCCCTTTTACCTGGTTGGTATCCATAATTCTTCACAGATTTCAGTCCCTATGCAAGTATCCAAAGTTGCTAGTACTGCATCACCAAATGGAACGCTTTCCTAAAATAAAGAATGAGGATAGGTCATCAGAGATTTAAATAAAAGGAATCCATAACTGGAAACAGGATCAATAGAAAGGAAAATATTTGTCCCAAGTGTGATTAAAATATGGATAGTGTACTCAATATCCAAATGCAAGAAAAATAGCCTGACAGTTAGAAACATTGGGACAATAACTGAAAAGATGTTGGGCAAAGGGGAAAGGAAAATGAAATACTTGATGGCTGGTATTTTAGCCAAGATTCTGAGTAACTTCTAAAATAATAAAACCTAAAAATAATTAATTAAAATCAGTTTTTAAAAACACCTACAAGAATATCTTCAGCTTCAATTCTTCATCAAAAATATGGTCTTCACCACATCAGGATGTCAAAAGTATGAAGGTCATCTGACTCTCATGGAATAAGGTCTTCTGAAGAGAAGGGGCTGCCATTTACACAACACATTTCTACACTTTTCTCAGACTCCCAAGAGGAAGGAATCTGCTGATCTACCTCCAAGCTATTTCACATAATGGGTACATTATAGTCAAAGACCATGATCCCATAGAAAATATGGGTTCATGCTGCATAGGGCATATAATCAGTACTTTGAATAGTACTTGGAAACATGCCAAGAGCCAATGGCCTGCTGCAGGCTTTCTACTCCTAAAGTGGCTCTCAACTGCTAGCAAGTTGGGTGTTACATGTTATACCAATTGAAGTTTCTGAGTAGCCTTCAAAGGCAGCCCTAAGTAGGAATGAACTTTTGTTTTGCTATTATTTTCATATGTTAAACTTTTCTATTTTGTATGCATCTAATCCAATCCACTCCAAATTTTATTACGGTCCATAGACTAGCATATGTATGCACCAAGAATCTGCTGCTGTTCATTGCTGAATTTGAGCAGTATGAGTTTTAAAAATTCTAAGGGATGCAAAGAAGAGATCCTGGGACTGCATTCATTCTGTAAACCACAGGTTGACTGCCCTTATTATACTGTTTTCTGAAACCAGAGTTTAGCTGAATTAAAAATATATCATCTACAAGGTATACGTCTATGCACTGAAGCAGCTTCTTGGAGGAGAAGTGAAACTTCAAAGGAAAAAAAAATCAAGAAAGTCCAGTTGCATTTTGGAAAAAGCACCATTAGGACTTCAGGTACCTGGACATGTCCCGAAGGGATGAAATACTGGAAAAAAATTAGAAAATGGATACAAGAAATAATCAAGGAAAGCATTGACCTAGCACCAGAAACATTTCTCCTGGGAATATTAAAAAGGACATATGAAAAAAAAACAGGTATTTGATCATACATATTATTATGGTTGCCAGATTAATATATGCACAATATTGGAAAGAAAAGAGATTACCACCGGAGGAGCATATAATTAGAAAAGTATTTGAATGCGCTGAGATGAGTAAATTAACTTATGAGTTAAACAATGAAGAAAGTTCGGAATACTATAAGGTGTGGGAAGGGTGGTATAAATGGATGGAAGATAAAATAAAAGAAGGAATAAAGGAAGGCGCAACCACTAAAAGGAATAAGTAACTTTTGAGACACCATATATGTATTCTATATATGTATGTATGTATGTATGTATGTATGTATGTATGTATGTATATATGTGTGTGTGCGTGTGTGTGTGTGTGTGTGTGTGTGTGTGTGTAGTTAATATTTCGGGTTTCTTCCCATGTAATTGTGGATATATCCCTAAAAGGGTAGAAGCGACGTTTCGACAGAATCTCATCTGCCATCATCAGGCTTATGTGAGGAGTCTTTTGCAGTAACTGCCGTTACTATTTCAAATCTGGTGCTGGAAGTCTGGGATGGCTCCACCTTTTCATTCTGATTGGTTGGGAGTCCCAGTATGTGTTTATTGGCTTGGCTTCGGGTGTATGGTCGGTTTTTCTCCACTAGGTGGCAGGGCTTCATCTTTGTGGCTGGTTTGAATATGATTTGGTTGGGACTTGTACATGCTTTTTGATTAATACTTGATCTATGTTTTATATTTGGTGTTAAGATTCGTCTATCTATGAGAGCAGGTTTCCAAATAGTAGGCAGATGTGAAGTGTCATCCCGTTTATTCATGCAATATGGTCTTTTCTCTATTTCAATTGCCTCTCTGATTATTCTGCCATTGAGATGTTCTATTTTTGCAACTGTTTTTGTGTTATTAAAATTAATATTGTGTCCTGTTGTATTTATGTGTTGAACTAATGATGATGTGTGTTCTTGCTTTTGTATTGAGTTTTTGTGTTCTTCGATGCGCACACTCATTCTTCTGTTGGTCTGTCCAATGTATGTTGATGGGCAGGAAGCACATGGGATTTCGTATATGCCTTGGTTTTCTAATTCTATTTTGTCCTTAGGGTTTCTCAGAATGGACGATATCTTTCTATCTGTGCAAAATATGGTTTTGATGTTGTGTCTATGTAGTACTTTGCTAATTTTATCTGTTGTTCCCCTTATATAGGGCAAGATGGCTTTCCCATTGTTTTGTTCCTTTTGTTGTTTTTTCTTCTGTCTAGGTGTTGCATGTTGGATCATATTGATGACTTTATTTCTACAGAACCCATTTGAGGTCAGTACATTAGTTAGTGTATATAATTCTGTTTGTAAATGTGCTTCATCAGCCAGACGTTTAGTTCTTGTGGTTAATGTTTTGGCAACAGAGTTTATTTGTGCTGGATGGTGGTGTGATTTGGCGTTGAGATAGCGGTTCGTATGTGTCTTCTTTTGATAGATGGTATGTCCTAAGGTGCCATCAGATTTTTTATAAATTAATACATCGAGGAAAGGTAACTGGTTTTCTGATTCTATCTCCATGGTGAACTTTATTTTGGGATGGAGGCTGTTCAAATATACTAAGAAGTTTTCCAGTTTATCTCTTCCATGTGGCCAGATCACAAAAGTGTCATCAACATATCTGAGCCATAATTTTGGTTTGTTAACAGTACAAGTCCCAACCAAATCATATTCAAACCAGCCACAAAGATGAAGCCCTGCCACCTAGTGGAGAAAAACCGACCATACACCCGAAGCCAAGCCAATAAACACATACTGGGATTCCCAACCAATCAGAATGAAAAGGTGGAGCCATCCCAGACTACCAGCACCAGATTTGAAATAGTAACGGCAGTTACTGCAAAAGACTCCTCACATAAGCCTGATGATGGCAGATGAGATTCTGTCGAAACGTCGCTTCTACCCTTTTAGGGATATATCCACAATTACACGGGAAGAAACCCGAAATATTAACTATACACACATATATACCCGTGAAAACTTACATAAACATATATATATATATATGTATAAACACTGCTTAACCGATATCAGTTGAATTGTAATATTATGTAATTCAATAAAAAATTAAAAAAAGAAAAGAGGACTTCTGGTACCTGAAGTTTCAGTTACAAAATATTTGGAAATTATAAATAATACAGTAGAGAGGGCTGTAAAAGCACTATGAAACAGTATATAAGTCTAAGTGCTATTGCTATTGCTAATATAGTACTTTTTGTTATTAAGTAGCAAAGTTAAATAAACATTTAAAGCTTACTTTCTTAAGTATTAATAAATATAAGCTGAACTGACTTTTTAGATAAAGCCTGTATTTTTCAAAACAGGCACATGCGGTCTACAATTTTTTGTATCTTGCTGGTAAAAGATCTATCACTTTTAGAAAAAGTTTAGGAAAAAACTAAGCAGCCCAAGGTTTATTTTATTTACCTTTTGCTTTAAATGAGATGCCTTGCATTTCATAGGTAGCAGCAAGTAACTAGGTCAATGAACTATTTTTGATTTAATCATAACTCAAAAGTTAAGAGAAATGAAGCAAGATTAAAAGTTATTGGTTATATAATTGCAATTCCAAAGAGGCTAAGAAAATTATTATCTAACTTGGTGTTTCCCCAAGTATTTAGCCTGCAACTCCAAGAACTCCCAGAGAGGAAAGACTTGGATTTCATTTCAGCCATTTACCTAGTCTTTCAGAAACTACAACATTCTTGAATCTAGGAGAAAAGAATATTACCTGAGATGTAATCTCTTGAATCATTCTTGGAAGAAAATATTCTTCTACATGCCTAGTAAAGAAATTTTGTTTTTAAAGTTTCGAGTAACACATTTTAGAGAGAGAGTTAACAACTTTCATTGGATATGTGCCACATGCAGCTTCCTTGTAATTCTTAAGTACAGTACTGGTCAGTTTGTGCACAGGTGAATCTTTTACCTGTAGTATTGTTGCCCTTGATTGGGATATCTTTGTTAAAGATCAAATCCTGGTAAGATCATAAAGGTTTTTCCATCTCTGCAGTTTGGACCTTATTTCTGTTGCTCTGGGCATGCACAAAATGGCAGATGGAATTTAGGGGATGTAGAACATGTTTTTTGAAGTTCAGTGCTACATGATCTGCAAAATGTACCTTTTTTCTCAGTGGATGCTAAGTGCTGCCCATAGATCATTCACAGCTCACTGTAAGCTGTGAACATTACCATCCTATAGGTGCAGCTGACAGGTCCCTTCAGCACCATAGTGAAACATCCCCACATGACAAATAAGCTCTATGCAAAAACACTAGGTGTGAGTGGAACAACTCTATTACCAGTCAGGCAGGTTGCTCTGAAGAAGGGAACCAGTTGCTATGAGGAAACCATGGGCAGCTAACCCAATAAGACCCATCAAAAATGAGTGAGATAGGGGAGTACGTACTGATATATTCCAAAAATGCTTGTTGGAAAAAGGTTGAAGAAAAGCTCCTATAATGCCACAAGCACAACCAGTTCTCAGTTTTATCTAGTGATCATCGTTGGCATAGAATAATGTTTGTTTACATTATTCTATGCAAGTTAAGACAATTAGAATCTACTTTGTCTTGCATAGCCATTATATTATTACAGATCTGCCATCATTTAGCAAGTATATCAGCAATGACATAGAATACAGGGATGTTAATATCCTAAATATTTTCTAAAATAGCAATGTCTTCCGAAGGATCTTGTAATGCAGACTTACAGTGGCAAACATTAAAGGCAACCCAAATGTTCAGATTAATTTGGGCAGAAGCACATATAAGAAAGAGAAGTTACCGTAATCTATTCCAAGGAGTGAACCACCTCATTTCTCGATAGTTTCCTGAATTTGCCAATGCTATCTTCGGCCGTATCAGAAGAATTTTTCTTGGTCAAAACAAAAAGAAAACCTGTTACAAGCATATATTATGGAACCAAGAAAAAAAGAGACTTTTAAATCATAATTTACCATATTTGAAAAATGCCAAATCTACTGAAAGAAAGTCAAACATACGAATTCAAGGCTATGTGAACAGAATTATTATTATTATTATTATTATTATTATTATTTATTAGATTTCTATACCGCCCTACTCCCGAAGGACTCAGGGCGGTGCACAGCCAAACAATAAAAACACATACAATACAAAATTTAAAAAATAGAATAAAATCAAATTAAATAATTTTGGCCCCGACAAATTTAAAACCCCAAACTTTTAAAACCAATTTAAAATTGAATATATAAATACTAAAAAATATTTAAAATTTTAAAAATCTTTTATAAAAGAGGGGGAAAATTAGGCCAGGCCGGCCTGGTGAAATAGTAAGGTCTTTAAGGCGCGGCGGAAGGTGCGCAGATCCGGGATCCTCCGTATCTCTGGGGGGAGCTCGTTCCAGATAGTAGGTGCCCCCACAGAGAAGGCTCTCCCCCTGGGGGCCGCCAGTCGGCATTGTTTGGCTGACGGCACCCGGAGGAGCCCCTCTCTATGGGAGCGTACCGGCCGGTGGGAGGCTATTGGTGGTAGTAGGCGGTCCCGCAAGTACCCGGGTCCTAAGCAATTATAACAAGAAGCCATGATTCTAGCCATGCCATACTTCTGGTTATATCCAGTTCTGGATAACATAGTTTAAGAATACTGACACAGAACCATTTTCCAGTGGAGAGCTCTCTCTCTCTCTCTCTCCCTCCCTCCCTCTCCTCTCTCTCCTGCCTGCTAATTGCTTCCAGGAATTCAAAAAGTTGGTTTTCACTTTTAAAGGCCCAGATACCTACAGAACCATTTACTTCATCAGGATCTGTCCCATGGAGGACTACTTAGAATCCCTACTGCATATAAAGTTATGTGGGTTGATAGTGTGTCTTCTCTGGAGTTGCTTCAATGTTCTGAAATATTTTGCCTCCTGAAAAAGGAACACCTCGTCTTTTAAGTTCTTTAAAAGCAGTTTGTTCCATTGAACACTCAAAGCCTCATGCAAGTCTCTAATAGGCTGAAGTTATTTACTCCAGTTTTCAATGCTGCCTAAATTTATCTTGCTTTTCCAGCTATCTTCTTCTCCATCTCTCAAAAACTCCAACAACAGTTTTCTTTCCCACATTTCAACCTTCTCTCCCTCTCTTAACGTGAAAAAACTAAGTATGTGCATTAAAATCTTCATTATTTCAATCCCAATTTTTCTCAGGCTTCAGATTATCAGTTCCAGGCAGAGCTTGACTATCTGGGATCACAGGACAAGATTGTTTGTTTGTTTGTTTGATCGATTGATTGATTTTCATAGCTGGCCAACTCAATCAAGTGACTCTAGGCAGCTTACAAAACAGTATTTCTAATCACTTACTTGTTTAGAAAAATTACTCTACAGTTGTAACGAACATTCCGGTGCATAATAGGCCTATAGAAATAAATATATTAAGTTATACATTTCCTTACTTAAAATTAGATCCTTTCTTTTCAAGAATATAAACTGATTTTGGATTGCATTCAAATTTCTGTTTCTTATCACGTGCAAGAAATATTTTTCATTTCTGTTTATATCAATTACAATCTAATATTAAGATGATCAAAAGAATATTCCAAAATATCTGTTTGCATTACTGTCATCTATTGTATATAAGGAGGAACCAAATGTTAATCTTTTAAACTACCTTGTTTGTTATTATAAAACAGTCTTCACATGTTTACCACTGAAGATAAATTTTTTCATCAAGTGGCGTACTGTAAATCTTACACTTTCTTGAACCTCCAACACACTATAAAAATACCAATTGCTTTATCTTCTATATCTCCTTATGTTTTAGTGCAATGATCAGAATACTGATAATATCAATCTTCACCTCAGTAGGTACCTTAATCCAGAAAACACAAAACATCTCAACACATGATTCTCCTCCCGATTCTATGATATTGTAGCGTACAAAATCTTACCTAAAATTTGGGACTCTGATTACCAACATTACTACCTTTTTCATATTTTAAAGTAAAAATTCTCTCAAACTGAGATGAACTGAGATGACTACATGGACAGTAACATTTAGGCAGCAATAAGAAAGTGGTTTGCCGTAGCCTTCTTCTATGACTTCCTGTTTTGGAATTTCCTGATTATCAAAGTACTAATCAGGTCTGGCTCTGCTTAACTTTTTCATGGTAAACTAGATACTGTAACTGATATGACATTTTTATACCCTTAACATAAATTTGAAGAAAGAGAATACTTGAAATGTTCATCTCATAAAGAAAACAATCTTTTAACCAGTTAACTTCATCTGAAGCTAACATTGCTGGGTGTTTCCTAATAAAAGCCTCACTATGCAGTCAAGTAATAACACACTTACATCCCAATGTCGCATATTATGTCCTGAGTACCAGGAGATTCCAAAAGCTTAGCCAAAACTTGAAATGAATGTAATAGTATGTCAGATTCATAATAATGATCTGAACAGCCATAACCACTGAAAAACAAAATAGAGGTGAATTAAATTACAACAAAACATCCCAGTTTATTTGTATAAAATGATTTTTCTAAATTCATATATCAGTAGAAGTACTTTTATTCACCTTATGTACATAATAATGCAGAATTAATTTATATATGTCTACACATTTAAATATGTTTGTGTGTCAGAGAAACTAGGAATGTGTAACAAAATATATTGTTGGATTGCTATTTCTATTTTATTTTTATTTACTAAAAATTTTAAACTACTTAATAAGCAATGCTCTCCAGACAGTTTATAAGAAACTACACTCCTAAAAGTCCATTCCTACTTGGTTTAATGTGTAAACTATTTAATGCAAGAAGCCTTGCAAACAAAATGTCTGAATTCCTTCTGCTCCTGAACACGTCCCTTTTTGACCTCATTTTTGTTTGCAAGACCTGGTTGAACGCGTCTTTTCTAGACACTTTTTTTTAACCGCAAGTGATTATCACGTTTTTTCGGTCTGACCATGAAAATCACAGGGGTGGTACTGTTGCAATTTTTTGCAAAAAGTCCCTAGGATTGAAAAAGATTAATGTTACTTCCGAGCTTGCTTTTCCAGAGTCCATTGTTTACGACCTGACTCTAAATACTACAGTTCGCTTCTTGTTACGTTACAGAGCCCCTGATTGTGATCTTGGCCATATGAAAAAGTTAATTGAACTATTAATCTGGGTGGCTCCTTGCCCACATCCTTTTGTTCTTCTTGATGATTTTAATTTGCCATTAATTAATTGGGCCTTAAATGAATCAACAAATGAACTGAAACATGTAACTTTTTACAATGCTGTTACAACCTTGGGGCTGGAGCAGTTAGTTGTTGACAACACTAGGCTCAACAATTGCCTAGATCGAATTCTTTGTAATAGTTTAAATTTAATTTATGGCTTACATGTTAAAGAATCCTTTTCTAACAGCGATCATAATATGATTGACTTTTGTATCAATCTGCATCCTCCTGAACTGGGTCTTAATGACTGTTCTCAGAATTTTAATTTTAAAACAGCAAACTATGATTTAATAGCTGCTGATTTTGCATCTTTAAATTGGCATCGTCTGTTTTCAAGTTGTAAAAATGTAAAAGATTTTTATAACACCTTTTTGTTTGAAATTAATTGAGCTATAAATTTATATGTACCAAGAAAAGCCAAAAAAGTTATAAATAAATTATCCAAGGCAATAAGAAAACTACAATCTAAGAAAAAATCTCTTTGGCAGAACAACAAGATAGGTTACATTGCCAACTTCAAAAGCCAGTACAAAGACTTATGTCATTAAATTAAAGTTTAATTTAATTTAAACTCAAACTCTATGTAAGTCTTTTACAACTTTGTTAACTCAAAACTTTAAGACTCGCAAGTGATTCCACCCCTAAAAGAGCAAAACGAGCTTGATTGTAATGACAATCAATCTATTCAATACATTTTTTAGTTCAGTTTTTGTGGATAGCAAGGGTTGCAGTCCCTCATTTGCAAGTCAAACCACAAATAGTTGTAGCAAATTGCTGAATATTAAATTTACAGTAATGTTGTATTAGCATTATGTAATCTAAAGCCATCGCTATGCACAGGACCAGATGGATTATGTGCTTTTTTTTCTTGAAAAAGTTTGCTACCATCTTAGCTGAACCTTTGTACACAATTTTTGAAGTATCGTTTCGAACTAGGTCTCTGATTTATGGTCATCAGCTATAGTTATTCCAATCTTTAAAAAGGGTGACCCTAGCTCAGTAGAAAATTATAGACCAATCTCTTTGCGCTGTGTTACATGCAAAGTTATGGAATCAATTATAAACCAATTCATTGTTCACCACTTATAAACAAACAACTTGCTATCCAACAGTTTGGCTTTAGGGAAAACTCATCCTGTAATTTACAACTTTTGCACTGTAAAAACATCTGGACTACATGTCTTGATATCAAGGTAAATCTGTAGATGCAATTTACATCCATTTTTATAAGACTTTTGATACAGTAGTACTTGATAAACTGCTGTTGAAATTAAACTCTTATGGCATTTCTGGACCTTTGCAGAAGTGGATTGCTGCTTTCCTGTCTAATAGTCTGCAGAAAGTCAAAATAGGGAACTCGCTGTCTAATCCTGCATCAGTTAACAGTAGTGTTTTGTAAGGCAGCGTTTTAGGTCCCACACTTTTCTTGCTCTATATCAACGAATTATGTGATCAACTCAAAAGCAATTTGCCGATGACATAAAATTATTCAATACTACAGATAATTCTGTTGTTTTGCAAAGTGATCTCGAATATGTGTCTGAATGGTCATCCATTTGGCAGCTTCAAATTTCGTTCAATAAATGCTCTGTCTTACATATTGGTAAACATAATCAGAATGTCAAGTATAAGCTAGGTAGTATTGATCTAGCAGATGACCCTCACTTTGTCAAGGACCTAGGTGTACTTATTTCTGATGACCTATGCTCCAAAATTCATTGTAACAACATTGCTTAAAAAGCATTAAGAGTTGTAAATTTAATTTTGCGAAGCTTTTTTTCTGGAAACATTGTATTGCTAATTAGAGCTTATAAAACTTATGCTAAACCAATCTTAGAGTATTGTTCAACTGTTTTGAATCCCCACCATATATCTGACATCAGTACAATCGAGTGGGTTCAGAAGTATTTCATGAGAAATGTTTTGCACTCTTCTGTCACAATAGAATTCTCTATGCTACTAGGCTTGAAATTCTCGATTTGGATAACTGAGAACTGCGCCGCTTGCGGTCAAACCTAGGTATTGCATACAAAATTATACGTAGTAATGCTTTACCTGTAAATGACTTTTTCCATTTTAATCGCAATAATATGTGTGTGAACAACCGCTTTAAACTCAATGTATATCAGTCTAAGCTTGACTGTAAAAAATATGATTTCTGTAATAGAGTTGTTAAAGTCTGGAATGCTCTACCTGATCCAGTTGTCTCAGTTACAAATGTTCAGTTTCAGTCGCAAATTGACTTCCGTGGACCTTACTTCATTCTTAAGTGGTCAGTAGAGGGGGCATACATAAGTGCAGTAATGTACCTATAATCCCTATCATTGTATGTTTTTCTTTTATTCTTGCTGTCGTTTGTTTGACAACTTTAAATACATAAATAAAAACACATTCAATAAAATAAACTGAACCGCAAAATGAAAGCACCACACAAACTAGTCAGCAGCAAAGTCTCATTCAAAATCTAAAACAATATGAATTAAAATACTGTTAAAATACAAATTTAAACCAATTAAAAGCTGGAAAAATTAAAAGGTCTATTTTGGTGCCAAAATTTTGCTAATGTGGATGTAATTGAAAGCAATGCCCCTTTGGAAATTGGTCTCATACTGCATCATTTTAAATCCCTTATATAACTCATCCATGGTCTAGTAGAATGGAATTTACAGTTTACCAACATCTGGAATACCACAATTGTGACTGATTTTTTTATTAAAACCTCATTGCTAATAATTTGTCTTGAAGTATACCTCCAATACTAAACTATTGCAATTTCTATATAATTTTTCTGATTATATAAAGTTAAATATGTATATATGGTATCCATCTTCACCCTACTATTAAATAACCAACTACCACAATGAACCATCTCGAGTAGATACCATTCTATACAAAGAAGGCACTGATTTTGTTACATTGAATGGAATAAAATAGATTTTAAGTATATTATATCCTTCATGTTTCTAGATAGCCCTCTTGAGGTCTATCAGGTTTTATGCCCCACTTCACTTTTCATTAAAAAAGGAAAAGAAAATGCATGTTGAAAAATAAAAAGCCTCTAACATCTTAATTTCCAGAAATACGTCTGGATTCCAAATTTTGTTACATAAATAAGAATGCATAGGTGCAGCCCAGTGCTAAGATTAGAGGTGTGGCTGAATGGCCAAAGAAAGACTAAGTTAATAAAAGTTGGTAATGAATCTTGGGGTGGGGGTTTACAGGATGCCAGGTAGTATCTTAACCAATTGGTTCGTTTTATCTAATTATGTCCCTCCAATAGGCATTTTGTAACCGTGCAAGCACCTCCCCCAATAGCCATCTTATAAGACAAAGTTTCAAAATCTGAAATGTACTCAGCATCTCTAAAAAGTTGAGGGTTACTGGTTTATACAAACAAGTTGGGAATTACTAACCAAATTTCAAGTTCTGGGCCGAGCCGATATCTTGCTCCTTTTTCTTTAGCAATTTCAATACCTAGGAGATTAAATTATCATTTTTATTCATCTACAATATGTTGTCAGAGAAAATTTCCCATGCTTTGAAATATAGGTAGTGTTATGTGTATCCTTTGATTTTGCAAAGCAAAAAAAGAATATTCGAGTATGAGACTGAGAACACAAGACCATTGAGATTTTCAGGAACTTTTTAAAACCAAGTTCCTATTTCTCATACTTTCTTAAAGCAAGTTCTTAGCTCAGAGAACAGGTAAGTTAAGATTTCTTGTAGTTTAAAAATAACAAAGCTGTTTTCCACACGCTATTGCTAGCAGAACTAGGATAACAAAAACCATATAATTTTTCATAACTCATATTCCTGGAGGCAAAATATATTTCAACAAACAGCATCCACTTATTACCCTGTACATAACTCTCATTCAGCCCAACTCACCTCACAGGCTGATTGTTGTGGGGAAAATAGGAGGGGGAAGTTATTTGTAAAAATAACAAAGGCAGGATACAAATAAATAAAATAAAAAGATGATTATAATGCAATGCTACACAATATATCATACATACAAGAAAATGGGTAATAAACCAAATTTATACCTTACACAAAAGGAGTTGATAAACTGAAACTGGGAAGCAATGAGAATTTTGAGGAAGTAAACAATTCGTTTTTTTAAAAAAACCTGAACACTTCTTCTTCTCTGTATAGCAAATTACCACATTAGGGGGGAAAGTTCTATATAGCCCCACTAAAAACTGTAACAATAATATAAAAGTAGTAATAATAAACCAATTTTTCACCTGAGTTTTTAAACCCAAACTAGTGGACTGTAAGGCCTAAAGTACTGGATTAGCACTGAGGAAACCTGGATTTTAAAAACCCAACGACTGCAATTGGGCCAGTCAATTTTTCTCAGCCCAATCAACCTCACAGGGTTCTCGTTCTTTGAATAAAATGAAGGGATGCCTTTCCTTCAGATAAAAAGCTCACAGGACAAGGCAAGCTATAAAGCTATATAAAATAAGATTGTGCATATAAATTAGGAAGGGACATCAATTGTTATGCTTATAGAACTATAAAAAGCTAGGACCAAAAAAAAATGTCAAGCAGTAATTAACTACAACACCAAACTTGTTCTCACTCTTGAGAGCCTTTATGGTGTTGTGGTTAAAGCATCAAGCCACAAACCTAAGAGTCTGAGTTGCAATCCTGTGTTACGTGGGCTAAACCACTCTCTCAGCCCAACCCATCTCATAGTGTGGTTGTGGGGAAATTAGGAGGAGGAAAAATTAAGAAGGTTCGCCTTCTTTATTATTTATAAATTTATATTTATATTTTGCATATATATATATATATATATATATATATATATCCCCCCATAAAGGTGCGATATAAACATATCAATGAAGATTTGGAAGGTGGGTGGGTGAATATAAAATAATCAATGGATCCAAGACGCATCCAGAGCCACCTTTCTTATTTTAATTATTGCTAATAAACGTTAACTTCCACTGCAGGATAACAAAAACAAGATCCATCTTCCTTTGGAGCTGCATTTTGCAAATAGCCCCATACGCAGCTTTGGGCTTACTTTTGAAAATCCTTTCCAGATTGCCATCAAAATCCAGCGCCCACTGATTCAAGGCGCACGTAGCCACGGTCACCGTCCTGCCCATGTTGTTTCCTGCCCGCTTAACTTTGCCCAGGAGAAGGGGGGAAAAAAGCGACCTCTCCCCAGCCGGTGGGACCACCGCTCCCAAAAACAACGCTTTTACTTCCGTAGGTTCCTCCTCTTCGACTCAGCGCAGAGAGGAGGGTTTGAAGCGGTGCTATGTAGCAAGTCACTTCCGGGTGAAACGCAGCGTTGGGGAAAAAAAAAAAACCTTATAAAACTTGCAAAGGGTTGGCAAAGGATAGCTAGAGCAAGCTTTACTCTTTCCTGGGAGCGGCTGCTGGCTGCGCGCCCTGCATTGTTTCGCCTGCCAATAGTACCGGGAGAAAGTGCCAGGGTGAGGAGCGAAAGTAATTATCTAAAGAAATAGTGTCTGATAGATACTAATGTATTTGTAGGTTTGGGAATGACAAGGATAGATGCGGGTTTTTTTCTTTTTTTAAATAAGCCTGATCTCCCCTGCATTTTTTTAAAAAAAACACCACCTGTGACTCCAAAAATGCAAAACACGAAACAATGGTTTGGAGAAGTAGGGTGTATGTGTGTGACTGTGCCGATAGCTTTCTAGCAGGATGTCCACGGAGATTCTCAGTCATCCAGGTCATGGTTGTCCCAAAAGTGCTTTTTCAAGAGGCAACTGGATTTTCTGGTTTTTCTTTGTTGAAGACGTTTCGCTTCTCACCAAAGAAGCTTCTTCAGCTCTGACTGGTTGGAGTGAAATGGAAGGATTTATACTCCTTGCAGACAGCTGGTCATTTGCATTCTTTTAGCCAATCTTAAAATCACCAGGTTTGTCTGTATCATCAGGTCACGGTCACCTGAGTTGTGCAAATGGGTATGGAGCCTTCTTGGTCTGTTGAAAGGACTGTTGTAGATTTGTATTCCTCCCCCTCTGTTGAGAGAGGGCTGTTCAGTTTCGATATAGATTGCCTCTTTGACCCCTCTTTCAAACTAGTGTTAGAATTAGGCCTGGCCTAATTTTCTCCCCTGTTTTAAAATTCTTTTACATCGAAATTTTAATTTGTTTTAAATTATTGGGATTTTTTTAATTGTCTTGGGCTAAATTATTTAATCTGGTTTTAATTATATCTTTTAACTTATGTATTTATGTATTTTATTTTGTGCCTGTTCACCGCCCTGAGTCCTTCGGGAGTAGGGCGGTATATAAATCTGACAAAAGACAAAGACAAAAGTGTTCCTCTCTGTCCAAAATGTGGACTTTGCTGTCTTCAAAAGAGTGGCCTTTGTCTTTTAAATGCACATGGACTGCTGAATCTAATCCTGATGTGTTTATTGTCCTATGTTGTACCATGCGCTTATGAAGTGGTTGTTTTGTTTCTGCAATGTACAGATCTGCACATGGTTCACTGCATTGTACTGCATATACCATGTTGCTCAGTTTTTGTCTGGGTGTTTTATCTTTGGGATTCAACAAGCTCCTGCCTTAGTGTATTTTTGGGTTTGAAGTGTGCATGCATGTTACGTTGGCTGAAGATCCTCCTGAGCTTTTCTGATATGTCTGCAATGTACGGAATGACCATGTTGCTTCGTTTATAATAATAATAATAATAATAATAATAATAATAATAATAATAATAATAATAATAATAATAATAATAATTTTATTTCTATACTGCCCTTCTCCCGAAGGACTCAGGGCGGTGTACAGCCAATTTAAAAACACAAGACACAACAATGATTAAAAATTAAAATAATTAAATAGATTTGGCCGGTTTAAAACCCCAAAAATTTAAAATACCCCAATTTAAAATTATTATTTTAAATAATAAAAGAAGCCGTCCCTGGATCCAGCAATATTGGCCAACTATCGTCCTGTCTCCAACCTTCGCTTAATGGCGAAGGTTGTTGAGAGTGTGGTCGCGCGACAGTTTCCACAATTCCTGGAGGAAACATCTTATCTAGATCCATTTCAGGTCTGGGCACAGCACGGAAACGGCATTGGTCGCGTTGGTTGATGATCTCTGGAGGGCTCGGGACAGGGGTTGCTCCTCTGTTCTGGTCCTGTTAGACCTCTCAGCGGCTTTTGATACCATCGACCATGGTATCATGCTGCACCGGCTGGAAGAGTTGGGGGTGGGAGGCATCGTATTGCGGTGGTTCTCCTCCTTTCTCTCCGACCGGTCACAGTTTGTGTTGGCAGGGGGGCAGAGGTCGACCTTGAGGCCTCTCGTCTGTGGAGTGCCGCAGGGATCGGTCCTCTCGCCCCTTCTGTTCAACATTTATGTGAAGCCGCTGGGCGAGATCATCCATGGCTTCGGGGTGAGATACCATCAGTACGCTGATGACACCCAGCTGTACATCTCCACCCCAGGCCACCCCAACGATGCCCTTGAAGTGATGTCCCAGTGCCTGGAGGCCGTGCGGATCTGGATGGGGAGGAACAGGCTCAAGCTCAACCCTTCCAAGGCTGAGTGGCTGTGGCTCCCGGCATCCCGATATAGTCAGTTGACTCCATCACTGACTATTGGGGGCGAGTCCTTGGCCCCCACAGAAAGGGCTCGCAATCTGGGAGTCCTCCTGGATATGCAGCTGTCCTTGGAGGAACATCTGACGGCTGTAACCAGGGGGACCTTTTATCAGGTTTGCCTGATTCGCCAGTTGCGGCCCTTTCTTGATCGGGATTCCCTGTGCACAGTCACTCACGCCCTCGTCACCTCTCGCCTTGACTACTGCAATGCTCTCTACATGGGGCTCCCCTTGAGGGGCACCCGGAGGCTCCAGCTGGTCCAGAACGCAGCAGCGCGGGTAGTGATGGGAGCAGCATGGCGCTCCCATGTAACACCGCTCCTGCGCGAGCTGCACTGGCTCCCGGTGGTCTTCTGGGTGCGCTTCAAGGTGTTGGTTATCACCTTTAAAGCGCTCCATGGCATAGGGCCTAGCTATCTTCGAGACCGCCTGCTGCTACCGACCTCCCAGCGACCCGTGCGCTCCCACAGAGAGGGCCTCCTCAGGGTGCCATCAGCCAAACAATGTAGGCTGGTGACCCCCAGGGGGAGAGCCTTCTCTGTGGGGGCACCTACCCTCTGGAATCAGCTGCCCCCAGAGATAAGGAGAATCCAAGACCTCAGTGCCTTCCACCGTGCCCTTAAAACCCACTTTTTCCAGCAAGCCGGGCTGGTTTAGGAAGAAAGTTTTTAAAATTTTTAAATGTTTAATTGGTTTGTGGTTTTTTTAAATTTTGGGCCAAATTTATATAGATTTTAATTGTTTTTAATATTTGTATTTCATGTTTTTAATTCTGGCTGTGCACCGCCCTGAGTCCTCAGGGAGAAGGGCGGTATATAAATTGAAAAATAAAATAAAAATAAAATAAATAAATAAATAAATTATGTTGATAGCCCGGCCTGGCGGAACAACAGGGTCTTCAGTGCACAGCGAAACACCCGGAGGTCAGAGATCTTACGTATTTCCGGGGGCAGTTCATTCCACAGGGCTGGGGCTCCCACAGAGAAGGCCCTCCCCCTGGGTGTCGCCAGCCGACATAACAGATACTTTTCTTCAGTATCTGTTATTGAGGAACTCATGTAGTGTAGTTTCTAGCAAGGTGTTTTGCTCGTGCAATCACAATCTCATAGGACAGGGGCAGGGGTGAAATTCAGCAGGTTCTGACAGGTTCTGGAGAACCGGTAGTGGAAATTTTAAGTAGTTCGGAGAACCGGCAAATATCACCTCTGGCTGGCCCCAGAGTGGGGTAGAACTGGAGATTTTGCAAGATCCTTCCCTCAGAAGTGGGGAGGGAATGGGGATTTTGCAGTATCCTTCCCCTGGAGTGGAGTGGGAGTGGAGATTTTGCACTATCCTTCCCCTGCCACGCCCACCAAGCCACACCATGCCCACCAAGCCACACCCACAGAACCGGTAGTAAAAAAAAACGGATTTCACCACTGGACAGGGCTGTCAAATTCAAGGACCGTGGGCCAGATCGAGGAAACAGCAAACAACTGGCCCCTGTCACCTTGGCCCTGGCCCAAGCTGGTTGGGCGTTGATCTAAAATTTGGTGGTGGCCATCCAGGCTGGAATGTGATCAGCCTTAGATCCGCAGGGACACCCTGGAGCCAGCAAGGGGCTGCCCTTGGGCCACCCCCTGGGCGTTTGCTGGAGACAATGGATCCCCCCAGCCCCACCAGGCTGTCACATGCACACACACAAACACCCCCCCCCGATGTGAGCAATGTGAAGCTGGCCACATCTGCCACAGCCACCTAACCACACCCACCTGGCCCCTCGAGGTCAACCACAAATTCAATGAACTTGAATTTGACACCCTTGTCTTAGGATCACTCAGATTGCCGAGGGAGTTGTTCAAATGCAGGAAAAGGTTAAGGTTTCCCTTGTCTAGTTGTGTCTGATTCTAGGTGGTGGTGCTGATCTCCATTTCTTTAACAGAGGAAGCCAGCATTGTCAATAGAGAGCTATTGGTATGTGTATATACCGTGGTTAAAGTCTAAAGTTCAAGTGCTTCTTGATAAGATATTTCGGGGGAATTGCTTCTGCCCAGGGTGGGTAAAAATCAATGATTTTTTTAAAAAAATAAAAAAAATCAGATTTTTTTGATTTAAATCGGATTTTTTTGATTTTTATCGAATTTATTTTAATAAAAAACTTTTGGGGTAAAAATCTATTGTAAGATAGTTTTCTATTTAAGATACATAAATAATTTAGTTTATTCAGCATGAAATGGAGCTTAGTTATGTAGCATGAGGCTGTATATTCTGCAACACTGGAATCAGTTGCCCCCGGAGATAAGAAGAATCCAGGACCTCAATGCCTTCCGTCGTTCCCTGAAAACCCATCTTTTTCAGCAAGCCGGGTTGGCTTAAGAAGAAATTTTTAAATTCTTTTAATTAGTCTGTGATTCTTAACTTTCGGGCCAAATTTATATATATTTTTAAATGTTTTAATATTTGTATTCTATGTTTTTTATCTTGGCTGTACACCGCCCTGAGTCCTCAGGGAGAAGGGCGGTATATAAATTGGAAATTAAATTAAATTAAAATTAAACACTGTCACTATCGGTGACTATCGGTGAGTCAACAGTGGGTCAAAGGAGTAGCAGAGATGACAGTTGCTCTTTAAAAATTATGATTTAAATCGAATTGATTTAAATCAAGCCTTTTTACCAG